TCCTAAAACGTTTGGAACATTTACAACGCCACAGCACGTGCGCCCACTTGCCACTTACGAAACTCGTGTAAAAGTGAACTGTTATGGAACACTAAGAACGATCTGCTATATTTTCATGAGTCGCAGATGCCTTTAAGAGATTGCTATTGCGAAGTGTCTACGTAATAGGTGTCGTGGCTGTGCAAGGTTTAACGATAGGGAGTCATTTTAAACAAGGTGTTAGAATGTTTTATGAAGCGAATTTATTTAAATGCATTTTAAATTTGGATATTAAAGACTTTTAGAATGTGGTATATCTTATGAGCTTTTAATCACTAATATTCACGTTAAAATAGTTCACAAAAAACTTTTGAAAAATAAATTAAATTGACAAAAGAATTAGATAGCATAAAATGATATTAAAAACGAACATATGATGATGATACACATTTTTGTATTTGTGGTGACGACAATTTACACTTTTCCAACATGTCTAAATTTTTATTTGTTTGTTTCGTACCAACTCATAATTATTAAGATATTTACATAAATGTAAGAGTTTAGTTATATAAATTTCATTTTCAGTTCCTTTAGCAAAGTTTCTGTGGCTTTAAATTTTATTTTTTATTTTAAACTATTATTCATCTTACGCTATATGTGTATTTATTAGTTACCCACTGTAAATACTCATTGTTTTTAAACATAAATCATTCAACAATATTTTTTTATTCTAAAATGTGGAGGTATAATTTCAGTTATCTTGTTAATATTAATTTAATTTCTCGCCTTATTATAATTTTTTAAAACTTTTCATATCTTCAGCAAATTAAAATAATACAGCAAATTGTAACTTGAGCTTGTATTACACCAACCGCATGTCACACCGACGAAATCTAATTGCAAAGCAACTTTGAACATAAATCGCAACCGCATTCGGTGTAATATTTGTTACGGCAGCATCTATTGTGCGGCAAAATTTAACACCTTACGCCTGCTGTTGGGAAGGCATTGTCGCAAATGATTCATTGGCGCTATTATTGTCGCCGATCGTAGAATTAATTTCCCGTGTAGATTGTCGCGTTTTCGGCTTATAATATCGCCCGTTTAAATGCCACGGATGGTTAGGGCATTAATTTTATGGTGATATTTGTTTTATCCTGTTATTAAATTCTTGTAAGTGAATACTTTAGAGAATATTTACTGCCATATAGAATTTGTTCAAAATAGTACCTATTTAAAAATTGAATGCCCCCTTTAAATTTTGGATTTAAATCCAAAAACAGTTACCTACATAAGCTTTTTGAGCATTCCTGCATTCTGCCATTATCAAGATATAACATGGAGGTTTTGCTACCAATTACTTATGTAAATGGTGATACATAATAAACCTAAATGTCGTTATCACTCTACTTTCCAGTTAAACTTTAGAGCTAAGATTACAAGCGTTGAATGCTTAAAATGGTAAGCTAATTTGTTTATAACATTTGCATGATTAAAAGCTAAATACACATAATCCTCTGAGAGCTATCTTATTTTGTATTCTCTGTGAGAAGAAAGCTTCTTAAAGATATATTTTGAAAGTAAAAGGAAATATAATTATCTGCCTTAACAATGAACGGTGTTTCTGGGCTTAATTAAAACTTTGCAGTAATTCAAATTAGGAGTAGTGTTTGAATAAGAGTATTCTGTACTATTAGCAAAATAAATATTTAAGTGTTATAATTTTATAAGTCAGCTTCCTTTGATTGTATAAACACTGTATATTATTGTATTTTAGTTAACACTGAGGAGAATATCCGTTAAACAAATGCAAGTGACACCTGACTTTCTAGCAATTACCTACTCCCAGTCGCAATGAGGTGGTTTTTCATACAAATTACCTATTGAATTTAAATCTAGTAATAGATATATAATACATCAACAGTATGTATAATATGTTTACCACACAAGTTTGATGATCAAAACTTATAGTTAATGACCACTAAGTCTGTTTATTACGCTTTAACGAGTCAACCGACTATTATAAAACCTTGAAAGAAAAACAGAAAGTAAAGGATACCTTTCATCTATAACAAAACTAGTGTTGAGACTACGGGATATACAGCTGTTCGGTAGGCTTGGTGGAAGAAATCCACATTAAGTTGTTTGTAGCCACGAGTAAAAGTTATTTTAAAATAAAACTTATTAGATTTTAATATTTTTGTCGATTCACAGAAATGTGTCTTTACTTACTGTGAGGCACAGACAAGGTAATAAAACCCTACATGAAAGCGAGTGATGACGCGGGCTAAAGCCAGCTTGCCATACAGTTAAACATATAAATGGACTTCATATTTGTGAAAGCGTTAGTAAACCCAACAATTTTGATATTAAACTACGAACGAAAACAAATAAACCCGCTGCAATAGATTATGTCTTAATTAACAAACATCCCGTATGAATAATGAATGAATATTTTATGCCATAATGTTAAGCTATGCTGTTATTTTATTAAATATCGTATGCAGTCAGGCATTAAAAATATAATGCAATATTTATGTTGTTCATCATTTCGGACTTAAAACATTTTTGGTCTTTCGTAAGGCTGTTTTATAAAACTTTTACAAACTATTTTTTGTCGCTCAATATTTCTTTATTTCAATAGTTATACGCCTTTTTTTTCCACCACCAGTGGGTGGTTATGTCGGACTCGAACCACTAAAAACCGCACGCCATCTCCAGGTACCAGTAGCCGGGGAATCAGTTATACCCTCTAGGGTTAAAACTAAGACTTTGGGGTACTAGGGCTTTCCATTCTAATGGAAAGTCCTAGTACCCCAACGTCTTAGTTTATTAATTTATTTAAAACTTAATGCACATGTTGTACAAAGGCGGACTTGATGCCATGAGGCATTTTCTCCCAGTCAACCATCATGTGATGTATTTCCGGTAAATATTTTAAATTTGTTTTTCAAAAAAGGATCATGGCCGCGAGCTACTTGAAATTCATAAATACATCCGAAGATAAATTGCATTCTGTTGAGCGGATTTTACACAAAGATATCATTCCAAAATCTTATCTGAACTCAACAGCCGGACGAAAAGGGTAGTACAGATTTAACATATAAACAACAAACTAAAACGAGAATGGATGAACATATATATGAAATTGCTAGTTCTCCTTTGTGGGAAGCGGCGAACGAAACCTTTGAGAAAATTGAGTAATAATATTTCCAAGTTGGTGAACAAAGAGCCTCCTTTCCGTTTGAAGCGACGTCCTGAGTATTTACCCCTAGATATTGTACTCACTTTTTATAAAAGTGACATTTATATGAAGCTTCTCATATTGTTTTGGTTTAGCCTCGGCTTACTCGACGATTGCGAATGTCAGGATATTTTTGTAGACTTTTTCTGTCTCGTAAATATCTTCTTATTAAATTTTTGTGTTAAATATAGCAAAGTTGAAAACGTAAGAATTTGGAGGTAGTGGAAAAGTCTAGCACAGTTTAGTGATGTAAATTATCGTGTTTTTTTTGACATCTGATACACACCGCCATCTAGTTTCAAACTAAGCAAAGCTTGTACAATGAAAACTAAATTGACTGATAGAATACTTAAATACTTTTTTTTTGTAAATACAATCACATTATACATAGAAAACACCCTAACTCCGAAACAAATATTTGCAGATCATACAAACATTAGTTCCGACCCGGGAATCGAACCCGAGACCTCAGCACAGCGGTCACATACGCTACCACTGCACTACCGAAGCAGTTTAATTTAGGTCCACAGAAATCCGTCAATAAATTCATAGGAACCTAATGGAAACGTCCGATGCTCTTATTTTGTCACTTTCATAGCCAAACATATTTTTAACCACTGTCTTTGCTCTATGCAGGCTGTTGGAATTATCATTGTTCGTCGTACAAGAAATCATCGAAAATTGAACGAGTGAATAAGATACCATTAAACATTTACAATTATACAGGGGCTACATTTAAAATTAATTTTATACGATGATCAAATGAAATTATTCATTTGCGACTTTCATTAGACATCATCATATAATTCACACCAAATTTAATAGTCTGTATGCGGCTCTGAAGCCATAAAAGCATTGCCATTAAGGCTACACTGAGCCCCTAAGCTCCCCTGCACACGGTACACACAAACATAAAGAGACTCAGTAATATTTGCCTATTTATGATTATTTTCACGTACCGGGCAAACCTCAATTAGCGAAGCGTTTTCTCCGACTGTTTTAGTACTGGTTAATGCAATGAATTAGCATCGTGCAGGGCAACGTATCTGCAATTTAAGCTGTTATTAAATTTTCAACGTATATTTGAAAATGATAAACACGTATAGGTTAAATTAACTTTGAAGGGAATTTTCAACAAAACTGAATTATTACAACTTGCGATTTAGGTATTTACATACTGTGTATGTCTGTTCTAGGTTCCTGCATGTTTCTGTTACGCAAAAGTACTATACCTGACAAACAGTAGCTTTTTTTCAATTATTCTAATCTGATTATTCAGTAAATGTTTAATCATAATATATCATATCAACTACAAAAAGATAAAGTATCCTTTAAATAAGGCGCATGCCGTCCTTAAAAGTCCTCCCATTTTCTTTGTTAAGGACTTGAACTGCTGAACGTAAATCTGCCTTAGACAGCTAATGATATTTTACGTTGCATTTTTCTTAAAGAAAATTTAAAAATAATTCATGAAAAATGCAACATCATCAACAAATGTTTGTTTACTGCTGGTCATAGGCCTCTCCATAGAAGGGAGCTTTTGGCTCACTATACCACGCTGGCCAGACGGGTTGGTATTGTTTCAAGTTTTCCTTATCTTTGCAGTGCTGTTATCCTACGCTTTTTTTTCTCCTTTAGTCAGCTCTTACGACACCTACGGGATGGATAGGAGTCGTGACACTCCGTATACTTATATCCGTCACCAAACAGACAATGACAAACTAGATGCATTTTGTTACAAATGACCCTTTTACATACCACGTTTATTTATTTTCAGAGTCGAGAAAGTCTATCATCAGACGGCGAAGGGGCGCGTGGCGACTGTTCTTCCGTTGATTCGTCAGGGTCAGCATCGGAAGAGCAACCACCATGCGACATAGGACTCCTAGAAAGACTAATCAGGACGCACCCTGTGTGGTTCCTGCCTGGTATTCAAAGAGCCGGTGCCTTCCATCTTCTCCAGGGAAAAGAGGAAGGGGTGAGCATTAATACATTTCACATTTTCAAATTCTACTTCTTTAGGATGGTCAACTTGTTGGCCATACGTGTTGGTAATTTAATCTTACTTAACTCTTTTGAACTATTAATGGTTCTTCGCAGTTTCACGAGTTTTGTCACTGGGAAGGAGGAGCCTGAGAATTCTAATGTTATATTACATAATCAATAAATTTTATCAATATTTACTACGCAATATAAAAAGATATTTTTGAATTCGAATCAGGATTCTAGAGATTAAATACATCATGTAATCAGACAATCAAACAAAAAACTCCTTCACCTTATTATATTACTGTGGACCATACATTTTAACAAAATGTTAGAAAGCTGACACCAGTGCTCTATAAAAAAATGAAATTGGGCTGAGACCCTAATCTGACATAGTACATTGTCAGTTATACATTTTCTCATTTGGATTACTGTATTATTTTCAGAATTTTGTAGTACGTCAATCAAGCCAACCGGATACAATGGCTATAAGTGTACGTCTACCAGCCGACAAGGGCCCCTACATTGAACATTACCTGATACAGGCGTCTGGAGGGCGCATTGGGCTCGAAACGTCTCACAATCGCTTCGACAATATACCTGAACTAATCGCTCATTATTCACAATGCTGGTAAGTTTTTGTAATATTATTAGGAGTATTTCGTTTGCTTTGTCGAGTCCCTTGTACAATAAAATTTAATAATAAAATATTAAAACAATTTGTAAATTGGAAGGAAACCTACATAACCACTGTGCAAGCTTTTTTCTCATTTCTTCATAATATTGTCTTAGGGTTGTTAAGTACCAGACCACAGTTTAAATAATAATACCATTACACGTATTACACACGGCCAATATTACCATATATATAACTAGCTGGTACCCGCGACTTGGTTTAGGAGTTTGAAAAGCGCTGCCGTTTTTAGACATAGGTATCGTGCAAATAATCGTGAGCATGAAAAAACCCTATTATTTTGACATTACAAAAAAACACTTCAATTTCATTTATTGGTATAGATAATATAGGTATTACTAGAGCCTGTACTGTGGTGACCTGACTGTTCAAAAACATACTCGTAGATATTAATTTCAAACAGACATATAACAAATAGATACATGTATTTATATATAAATTACACCCAGATACTGAGCAATGATTCGTGTTCATCACACAACTATTTGTCCTTTCTTCCCACCCCGGAAATTGAACCTCTCGCAGCCAGACTAACCGCTAGAACAACAAGCCATTCACCGACAAATATGATAATTATATACAATTTAAGACAAGCTGGCTAGCAAGCAAACAACTTTTAAGCAAGGCAATCCCATAAAATAGGTAAGGTCTTTAACATCGTTAAAGAAATGTCAAAATATAAGGTATATTTATTATTGTTAACTTATCCAACTAAACTAAAAAAGTAGTCATAGTACTCGTAGTTAAGTTTAAACTGTGTGGAGCTTTAAAGCTCATTGGACCAAAGTAAAGACGATGGTTAAAAAAAAGTATGCACAGCTACTATAACAATTAAAATGTCTACATTAAATGTATTTACAGTGATGAGCTCCCAGTGCAACTGCAACTGCCTCGTCCGCTTCGTGAAGCCAAGAGTCGACACCAACTCAGCTCGCTAGCCATGTTAGGCCAGGAGTTCTGGGGATACCCCATGGCAAACCCGAAGAACAATCCGAACAATCTTCTTTCTCCATGTCAGTTGGCCAATGGCGTAGTTCCAATGGCTGTTACTCCTTCTGACACTGGATCTAGTCTTAGTAGTTTTAATACGAGTAAGTTGTTTCATTCAGAAAATAATATAAAATTTTATCACTATCCTCGTATATCAAGAGTAAAAAGTTACGAAATTTATAGGTACCCGGACAGACTCCCGTGAACATATTCTCAGCCCAGATAAAGATCAAAATGTAGTGCTTAAAATGTCACCGATAGATAGCTCAGGTTCCCCACCGATTCAAAACCAAAACCTCAGCACCTTCAAAGGAAAAACAGCTCCGTCACCACCAGCAAAACCTAACAGTGCATTTATCAGGGCGCCTAGACCTACCCCACCAAATACTTTAAATCTCATGTCTAGTACTGTAAGTATAATTTAAATTGGCCTTAGTTATAGTATTGCCGTCTAAAACTGTATTAATAGAGGCTTCACCTGTTTTCAGGCGCATATAACACAACCTCATTCATTTCCAACAACCAACACGCACCATTCTCCCACTCATTTAAACAATATTAAAACTACCCCACCTCCACCGCCTCCACGATGGGCCAAACCACCTTTCTCTAAGCCTTCTCTATCACCTAAATCTGATGCTGTAGCTTTCAGTCCTATTAACAAAGCTTCACAGAATGGAAACATAACTGTTACCACAACCGTTACATTCTGTGTCAATAACACACAAATTCACAATCATCAAATCAATGAGAGCATCCAAAGCGACAGGTTGCAACTAACACTTGCGTCTAACGCCATGAATAACAACAATAGCGCAGACTCTGTTTTTGGGGCCATGGATACGACGAAAAACATGTCAGATTCTAATACTGAATCACAGGTAAGGATTTCTGGTATTTTGTTTGGTTTGTGCATTAAACGCTTATCTGCACGTTAATTTAAGGCAATACTAGAAGACTGTTTGTTTCTAACCTCAATTTTTTTTCTTTTCTATTTAAAAAAATTGGTACTTACCTTACTCTTCCTGTTCCTATATAGAACATGATGCACCGTATGTCGCCAGAAGGGGAGTGCATCAATGCCATGACGGCTAGTTTGCACGGGAGCTTCAAACGTCAAATGACCGAGCAGAATAATGTAGAACCTGGATCACCAGTAGAACAATCTCAAACAAATACATCCGATTCAGTGGATCCAATCGTTAACAGTTTAACTAAGTCAAGCACTTTTGTCCCAAATCATTTGGTATCACCAAATGGAACGAACTCGGTTACTAGCGGGATTTTTTCCCCTACAAGTCAAATAAACTCTCCTGTATCTAACGACACAATTTCTTCTAAAAGCGGTGTTTTTTCTCCTCTAAGTCAAACTAACAAAAGTGAGCTCTTTTCACCGGTGTCTAGAAGTTCTCCTATATCAGGAAAAAATGTTTTTTCACCATCTTCTAATCAATCGATTATATCGCCTATGATGGGAAAAGACAGAGATAAAGTTCTGTCTCCAAATACAAATACAGCAAGTACTACACCGTCTGGTAGATCGAGAAGGAGTAAGCACTCCCACCGAAAGGAGTCCAGACATTACCAGGTAGAGTAAATGTTTTCAGAGTGCATAAGTCTATTGTGTTTTATATCAATATTACTAATCGCACGTTGAATTAATTGGTTTATTATAGATTGTTTGTACACATGTATTATGTACCAAACATGTTTGAAAAACCAAGGGTTTGCAACTGGATTTTGATTCTTTTTTTAAATTTGATAATTCAGTGTTAACTTTTAATGCGTTATTATTTTAGGAATCAGATATACTTGAATCTCCAGGGGTGTATTGCAGAAGTTATTTGATGGACAAAGTATCAGATTACGAAGATATTTGGGGACCAGAAAGCAATAGTTGCTCTACATTTAAACCATTGAAACCCGAAAATGAAAACAACATACACAATGGGTTAATGAAAAGTAAGAGACCTGATCTCTTGCCGGATACTTTACGTAAGTAAAATTATATGTTTACTTTAAAAATATGTTTTTTAATCAAATATTTTATTTAGTCGATTTATAACAAACAATGTTACAGCGAAATTAAATGCAGCAAAAAGTACCCAATCAATACTGGAAAAAGAAAATATGCATATAATTAATTCAACAGAAAGCTTAAATGATAAGAAAAATCTTTCTGATAGCTCTCTCAAGAAGAGCTTCAGACGATCGAATGACATTATTGCTACCACAAATAGTAAGGGAGACACTGTACCAAAGAGGCCGGACAAACTTAATATACAAATGAACATGAATAAGAAACTGAATGAAGAAATCGAAGCTGTGATTAAAAGCAAAGAAAATTTTAACACTGAAAGTATGGAAACTATTAAATTGGAAGATGACTGTGTTAAGGTTTCTATCGAGGAGGAATCTGAAAAGGATAAAGCTGGAAGCCCTTTTTATGCGGATCCCGTAGATACTTTAAAGGAAGTATGTATTTTGGTTTTACAAAATTGAATATGAATAATTTTTAAAGTAACAGTTTACATAGTCATTATTTTTGCAGGCTGCCTTGTTAGCACCAGTGCAACGACGTAAATTATTAAAAATTGGTGTAAATCTTTCTCAACGTTATTCTGAACCACCAAATCAAAACCATCCCTACTATCCGCTTCGTGATATGCATAGCATTGAAGAACTATCCCGTAAGTAATATATTTGGTTGATGAAATAATATTAGGTTTTATAAGTTCCAATTTTAGGCTCTCTATTTAACTGTATTTTTTGTTTATATTATTTTTCTCCATATCCATCCATCCATCCAATAAACGCAGTAGTACCAATACTAAACTATAAAAATAATAGTAATAAAAGTTTTCCATACCTAAAAAATAAAAGTAATAAAAATTTCTTATACCTAATAAATGTCCTTCAATATCATGATAACGAGTGGTCTTACAGATTTAAACTAAAGAGATTTAAATCATCATCATCTTACAGATTTTCATTAATTTCATTTTCATTTTTCCGTATTTTAAATTTGAGTTTTCAATTTTTAGCGTCATCACCGAACACCTCTTCATCCGTGGACAACCTGATGTCTTTGCGGAGTAAACCAAAAATGAAACCAGTGCAGCCACCGCGTGTCGCAACCAAGCCACCCTCAGGCAAGAACGACCAGACTTGGACCCTTGATTCCAGTTGGGAGTTTATAAGTCAGTGTTACAACGACTTGACCAGTAGCTGCTTAATCCATTGCTATTGTACTCATAGATTTCCTGCAACTCCCAACTTTTAGCATATCCCTTGAAATAATTTGTATTTTTTTTCTCGTATAAATTTTGTAATTATAAAGATACTGGTCATCATTTTTTCTTTTTTCTTTAATCCTTATTAAAAAAAAACTTTTAATATGGATTGAAACTAAACTAAAATTTAAAGATAAAATAAAGATATGTGTCTCTATTTATGATTTACTGATTTCAGCACATCCATTACACGCTTTCTTGAAACACATTTTAGTGGTTTTCTATACGGTTTCTATTATCACAATGCGAATTTATATCTGTTTGCAGACAAAAATGACGAATGTTTAAATGAAAGTGGCACTTTCCCATCACTGGCAGAACAGGAATGCCGGCTAAGTGGGGTTGACGACGTATCACAGCATTTGACTGTACATCAAATCGTTGCTCTAAGGTAACAACATAAATACCAACTGCAGATTTCCTCTACTTTAGCCCTCAACTCTATCTAAATGTTCTTTCTTTACCAATATTATACGTTCTATCTTGTCAACAGATTTCCTGATTTACGCTTAAACTTAGAGCCAGCGACGTTACCCGAAGAAGTGAGATCACCACCGCGAGCTTCATGTTACGACAATGTCCATGACCTGCGACCTTTATCTGAACAGGTTATAGAATATGCCCATGATAATCATACAATACTGAAAACAGTAGATGGAAATTTTTGTGATTTAATTGAGTTTTGTGTAACTTCACTTCTACCTTTTATAATGGATTTCACTATTATGGATGGGGCAAGAAAGTCTCCATCTCGATCGGGTCCGAGCATCGTGCTTAATTTCACTCCACGTTTCGCCAATGTTTCTCGCCTCAACTGCAACTGCTCGTCGCCAAGTTTGCCTTGGACGACCATGCTTGCACTGCCTATATGTCTGCCTTTACTACTACTATTGAATTATGAATGGACTTTAATAATGCTATCCGATTTATTGGACTCCTCAATCACTCTGGATTTGTGCCAATATAGATATCCATCCTTTGCTACTACACTACTACTTACTATAAAGTCATACTATAAATAGGTATAGGTACCTAAATTTATCAATGTAATTTCAGTTAGTTGCAATTACTACAATTATCACATTTTTATTTACAGGCTAGCGACGATGGAACTGTTTTCTCTGAGCCTTGGGATAGTTCACAGTGGGACGGTTTGATACCACCCGCAAATGGTCAATTTTATGACAATGTAAGTATTCACTACATTTGCCTTTCATTATATGTTGATTATAATATATGTATATACATATATAATATTATTTTAAGTTATCCAATCAAACCTAGATGACGGTCTTTAGAAGATAGTATAACGTTTATTGAATGTAAAACTATAAGATATGCAGATGTCAAACAAACAGCAATAGTACATAAGGTTATTGCACAAATAATAAGTTAACATGTTTCTAACACGCCCTTATTAAATAGGCGGCGAAATAGAAGGTACGAAAAAATAAATTGTTTACAATGCAAAGGTAACTAACATTTTTAACACGATTGCGTGTAAATTCTTTAAATTTGTTATTAAATCTATTAAATAGTATATAGTAAATATACTAGTAGTATATAAAAAATAGATTTTTTCAAAACATGAGATAATCATACACAGTATAACATTTGGGCACAAAGATGGATAAAATATACCAAACTCCTAATTGAAAATAATATTGAAGTCAATGGTTAAAATACATTCAGGCGCCTATCTACGTTATGTCCATTTAAATCAACTAATTATGAAATTCCAAACAAACGTAATGACGTTTCTTCTAAATGACTTGAAATTTGAAACGTAATGATCTTTCTTCTAATGTTAATTAAGACCATAATGGAAGACTTATAATTAATAATTATTGTATTGTATTGGGAATCTTTGTTCATGATGGCGATTACCATTCATTTTTTTTGCCAATAGCTAGGCTATCCAAACATATCTTGACCAGCATAGATAGGTAAAGCGTGGTTTCTAGTATTACATAAATAACTAAAAAAAAATCACTTGAGATGTTGTAATGCCAAACTATGCAGAGCGTGTACTATAATAACCAAAATTACAGAAAAACGTGCTTATATTTTACTGAATGACTGCACGGATGGCGTAGTGGTTTAAGCGGTCGCCACGCCGAGTGTTGTGGGTTCAAACCCCACATGGGAAGACACTTTGTGTGATCCACAAATTGTTGTTCTGAGTCTGGGTGTTCTTTGTGTCCGTTTCATGTATGTTTGTAAAGTCCCCCGCGACACAGGATTTATTCCTAATGCGGGAGTTGTCTTTTTCAAAAATAGAATAAAATAGAAAATAACATAACATGACACTTGAATTCATAAATATAATCGACAATTATTTGTCTTGGGTGGAACTCGTCGACTCAGTCTTGATCAATAAAGACTAGTCCAACAAGCTGGCCTTATTCAGTAGTAGTTTCACTTATTGGCCCTTATAATTCTTATTATTATTTTGTCAATAAGCACCTATATGACTACTAGAAGCTATGTATATTGTTGAATTTTAATAAAAGTATTTTATATGTTCAGGAGGAGCCATATGAATGGGAGTCTCCACTTCCAAGGCGAGGAATTGTTGTAGCGACAAGAGCTAAAAGTTTCAGAGACCGACTTGATCCTCTTCTAGGTAAGTTACTTTAATATCTATAGTAATATTATATCTGTAAATATTTCTGGAATTTATATATGAATGCTAAATTTCATACAAATAGTTTTAGCCGTTTCCATATCACATCAACATCCCTTAATAGCTAACTGCTGAACATAGGCTTCTCCTTAGAAAGGAGGTTTTGGCCTACTATACCACGCTGCACTGACATGGTATAGGGTTTGTGTCAAGTTATCCTTCTCTTTGCAGTGCTTTTGTCCTGAGTTGTTTGCTCGACTAAGGAGTCGGATCATACGACACCCACGGGAGGAATTGGGGTAGTATAAGTATATTATAATTGCACTCCGTATTCTTTCGTATTCTCCGTCACCACACGGATTCCATATACGCAAATTATATTTCTCACGTTTTTATGTTCATATATTATATTATAAGAATACTTATAATTACTTATTATTACTTATATTATAATGACTTATAAGAATATGAATACAGTCTTACTTATAAATATAAAGATGTCTAAACCACAAAATTAAGAATATTTCTTAGTTCTATGCTTCGTTAATTTATTTATACCTACACAGTGGGATAAAATGTACGCCATGCATCCTTGAATTGAATAAGTCATTGACACAGAACACGTTATCGAAAGTAAAATTTGTAAAGATAAGAAATGGAACTGTTTCTATTTACTATTGAAAACGTCAAACGTCAGTGCACGTGTAAACTAGTGCAGATGTTTACACACGTTACACAAGTATATGTAATCAAATAAATATATTGTAACGGAACAGACTGTAATAACTCACTCATTTAGATTAGATTAAAAGTTATGAATTTTTCTTTTTGAAGTTATGAAAATTACGGAGATAAAATGCTGCTGTCATGATAATTTAATTATTGTCTGTTCGATTATAATTCAGTGCAGTTAAATATGTCGTACTCAAATAAATAAAATAAACTAATTATGCTCATCATTATCATATTAATTAATTTAGTACGGCACATACAATAGAAACGCGGCGCACATCTGTTATCTGTTACTACATTAACTCAGTAAATAAATTAATAATGGATAAAGGGGCAAAGGCTTGCGCGTGCCGTGAATTTCTTAGTCACATTCTTGCAGCTGTGCAGTGATGGTCTATTGCCTGCGCGCGTTGTAGCAATCATAACCCTAGAATCGCTTCGTTTGTGTGAATGAGAAACAATCGATTTAAATCATTCGTTCACGCGGGAAAAAACCGCCAAGCAATCAGTCATGAAGTGGTTCAAAAAGTTGTTCCGAGGAAAGCGCGAGAATCTGATTGAAGTGTCTAACATCAATAAGAACGAACTCTGGTTCGACAAGTTTGACTCATCGAATTCTGCTATACCAGCAGCCGAAGATTGCCCAGTAGGAGTTGACGCTTTAGATTTGGAAGGGTTTGTGTGGGTGTCGAGTGAAGTGTACGCGTTGACCACCATAAAGAACTTCAGGGCGGATACTCTTGATACATTTTCATTTGAAAGTGAATGGGTGATCGTGTCTCGGGAGGAACTGTACGAGCCGAAATTTCAGCAATGCTTGAGGAAAACGGATACACTGATGGATATGTGTCGATCTCTGGCAAAGACGAGTAGAAATAAGAGAAAGGTAGAAGTGGTGGCGCGACCGCCCAACTGCCACTGCCATGAGTTTAGCTCTGAAAGCTGCGAAAGTGAGAAACCGTTACCTACAAGTTTTTGCCGAACAATTGTGAACTGTTTTAAGAAGTTATGGCGTTGCGTATATTCTAAGCTAAAATGTCGTAAAAAATTGAAGACGGACAACATACCGCATACTTCGAAATCCAGAAAAAAAATCATAGATTTCAACACGTCGACTAAAACTTATCTATGTAGGTATTTTTATTTTTCTCAAAATGCAACATTTTCAGAGCTAAACTGTTTTTTTTATTAAATAAGAATTGGGCTCTAATTTGGGATCTGACCTCAGGAAGTCTTTCATGTAATTCATAGAATAAATATTAACCATACAACATAAAATCGCAGAAACAAAGTTAGCCTAGTCAGTGTGTAGTATGACAGTTATTTTCTAAGTGCAGATCTTTTAATTTTCATATTATAATGGTTGCTTACCTCTCAAATGCCCCTTTTTTTACTTTTTCCAGACAAAGATTTATTCTTCGCCTAATGGCAGAAAATCTTTATGTTTATGTATGTATATAATAGGCGAGGTTGAACTCATGTCAAAGAACCGACTTGATTGACCCCCATCCCATTGAGCCGGAGACATTGCAGGCTGAAAATAGATACAGAAATCACTCTGAATCAGTCCCCCTATTTTTTCTGATGAAGAGGGTTCCCTCCCTTCCGTAGGGGGTACACCCCTTTCGCTTCATGAGGTCCACCTTGGTATTTACACTTATTATTAATTTTAATCCATAAAATAAGGAACATAAAAAGAAAAGTTGCGGAGCCGGTCCCCAACTTATCCTATTATGGTAGTACACCTCTCCTTCACCCCCCACCTCACTCTCTCCCTTCAATTCGACGGACGTCAGTTTTACGTTTCGTTCCACAAGCCGGCCGAAGACGGTAAAAACTACACATTTTAATTTTAATAGCTCGTAATAAAGATAATGCTGTAATTAAATATATATAAACTGTTCAATATAGGTGTGCATGAAAACTTTTAAATAAAATGTTACCTAACGTTCATACGTTCGGTAACATTTTATTTAAAAGTTTACCTACGGTTAAGTTGTCATCAACTTAACCGTAGGTAACACGAAACGTTCAATGGCGAGAATTCTATGTAATTTGTAGTGGGGATTGATATAAATATTGCAAAAATAGTTTATTTCAATATTGTGTCTGTCTAATTACTATTTATTTGGTCGCACCCATATTAAAATGATAACAGGAATAACATTAACTAGTTTAAACCATTGAGTGCAGTCTTATCCCATAACATTTTTGCAAAATTTGTTTTATTTCGTGACATACACAACACAAAACAAACAAAGATTTTGTTACCAATTTTCAATGGGAGCACCCTCTTGGATCCATTATTACTTCAGCCTATTGTCGTGTTCACTGCTGAACGAAGGCGTCTCCCAAAGAGCGCCAACCATCCCAGTCCACTGCCAGCCATGTTCCTCAAGTCGTCGGTCCACCGTGCCGCAGGGCGCCCTACACTACGTTTGCCTAGTCGCGGTCTCCACTCTAGTACATGTTGGCTCCAGCGACCATCAGTCCGCTTGGAGACATGACCGGCCCACTTTCACTTCACGGAACTGATTCTGTGTGCGATATCGAATACTCCAGTTCTGTCTGAAGCGATTAGTACTAAGTAACTTTTCATAATAGTTTATACCGATTTACAGATATTTTTGTAGGGTAAGTCAAATTTTATCAAAAATCTATTGTATTCTGACTTCTGTTTAGTGATGCTTTTGTAAATAAATCCGGAAACAGCAATTATTGTAATTTTTTACTCCTTTAGTTAGGATATATAAATTTCACTTTTTTCATACTACCAAAGTGATAAATGAAAATATTAAACTACGGCGGAGGATTGTTTAGCTCCCTACCTCCACTTGTATTTCTACTATTACTAATATTATATTTTTTATTTATATATAATGTTTATAATCTTTCGACGAGGTTGTATTGCTCGTGATCTTAGGCTGATATTATTAATAATCGGTTTATAATTCCTGAAGAAATAGTTTTATATCATGCAGCATTTTTATAATCATTGTAACATAATGCAAGCACTATCAGCGAAACATTGTTCTGTTGTCAAATGTTCTAGATTGTAATGGGTCATCTATTAAAACACGTGACTAATACGCGCAATTAGTGAAATCACTTTCGATTTAAAAAAATAACAAATTCTCGATTTAGATAAACGAAATGACTGTGAAAATGAAACAATAGTAACCTAAGGTATATAGAAATGCTTGAGCCCACTTACTATTATTGCTAGTGTAACTTATACCTAATACCTACTTTTGTTTGGATGGAACGGATACTTAAGTCATTACAAAAGTTTGGTATGTCTCGTAGGTGGGAGTGTCCCACCAGAAGATAACTTTTACCAATTTATAGTTGGATAGTCTTGTAATTGTAGATACTAGACTCTTCTGATCCATCAGGTTGCAGTTGCGTAAGTAGTCTATAAATATACATACTAAACCTTACTTTCGTCTACTACAGCTGCTGGCCGCGTTCGAGCATTGCGCGGGGGACGGACGGTTCGCGGTGCGGGTGCAGCGCTTCGTGCGTACGCGCTACATCTCGCTCAAGATAAAAGCACCACTTTCGCCCAAAACATAGACAACTTTATTGCCTGTACTCTTGATTCGAAGGAGACCTGCCCACAGGTAAATAATGCGTTTTATAAACCAAAAAATACATGAAATCCATTTTGTGTGTATTAATTCTGTACTCTCTCGTTATTAAGTCTCTTGTCGAGAATACCTTGGTAACCAAATTAAAGGGAATTATCATATTATTTACCAGAGAGTGTACGCTTAAAATTCAATGTAACTAAATGTGACTTATTTCTAGGTGATGATGCGCAATATGAGGCAATTCATGTCTGGCATGAAGAATTATCTCGTCAAACACGGAGAGAGGGAATTTGAGAAAGAAGTGGAAAAAGAACGACTTAAAGTAAGTAAACTAAGTGCAAATGGAAATAACACTTTTGTGACCATTCTTAGGATCATAGTATTTGTCTTCATCTTAAGAATAGCTGACTATTAAGAAAACGACAGAGGTAAATCAAATTCATTAGGCAGTAAAAAATAAGAATTATACTTGACTGCACGGATGGCGTAGTGGTTTAAGCGATCGGCTGCGATGCCAGCGATGTAACTTCACACACACTTTGTTTGATGCACAAATTGTTCATTTGATCTCAGACTCAGAACAATATTTAGTGGTTGTTCTGTGTTGCTGTTCTATGTGTCCGTTTCATAACTGTGTATAAAGTCTGTATGTATATTCCTAGTACGGGAGTTGTCTTTTAAAGGCAACTGTTTCGTAAATGTTTTAAACAAAAAACATATTATTCGACAATACAATAATTTTGAGTAAAACTGTTTGTATGACTGTGTAAGAAGAAAGTATAATTTTACAAATACATATTATTTTTAGAATTAGGCATGTATGTTTTTTGTAACAGTTATTCAAATCTATAATCGTTTATTGTACAACCTACAGCTCAAACCAACTGAGTTCCTGAACTTGGACGCGATCCTAGAAGGCGTGATGCACCGACTAGTGGTGCGACCTCTACGTTCACGATTATACACGTTGCTAGCCGCGTGGCATTCCGCTGATGTACGCAGGCTTCATGCGGCGCTAGAACGCGCTCAACATACTACTCCATTACAACTTGGTGTAAAGGTATTATATAATTCATAGTTTTTTACAAATAATGTATCAATATTTTGATCATGTGGTGATCGTTTTCAATACTTATTTTTTATTGAATTATTTTGTCTTCCAAAATGGACCTTAAGATTTTATAAGGAAAGATAAAAAGCCCATATTACGAAACAAAAGTTTCGTATTCAAATTGCAATAATACTTACGCGAGCGGACCGAAACGCCCCCACCCCCAGGGTAGTAGGTATAGCTACTACCACAGAAGTCGTATTAATAAGACTACCAATTCTGTTCTTTTCGTAGAATGAAATCTCATCTTAAAATTTCAAAGACCTTTACTTCCTACTAATTTGACTGAGAGTTCTTATAATTTACCACAGTTTCACAACTGTATCGTTTGATTGAGAATGGATGTACACCTTTGTGTTAGATATGAAAAAAGCAGTTCCATCATCTAGGTATTCATTACTCTAGATACAGCGGTGGTGAAACGGATTATATTGATTATCTTGATCTTTTGATCTGAAAATCAACTATAAATAGAATAAAACAATGCGGCAACAACCATCTTAATGTAGTGATCTACTTACGTATCAACATTATAAAATCAACAGTGAATAGCGTATCGAATTCAAATAACTTGTTTATATCTATAGTATAACTAATAAATTTTTATTTGTCTTTTGAAACTAACTGATCCTAATTATATATATTTTTTCAGGAATCTACAAGGGTACCGTCACCAGCAGTATTAGCTATCATATCAAAGAACTTCCTGAAGATGCAGGAGGCTGATTCGCCATTGGACAAGCTGGAGAATCTTCTAGCAGCCATTTCTGTAATGTTTAATGCTGTGAGTTGGTTTTCATTAATAGTATATAAATCATTATTTTTGTTTTATATTTATATATTGGATGAAATCGTAACAGCAGCAAGAACATTATATTCTTGGACTTTATATATTGTGCAATAAGAAACATTATTTATAATTTTTGCTTTGCGTACAGATCCGCGGAGAACGGTCGGTGGGTGCAGATGACCTACTGCCAGTGCTGGCGTACAGCGTGGCACGCTGTCGGCTCGTTTGTGCGGAGCTGGAAGCCGAACTTATGGCGGGACTACTGCCTGCCGCGCTACTAGCTGGCGAAGGCGGCTACTACCTTACCGCACTTTTCTCCGCCGTAGCCGTACTCAAAAGATTGGCGCCTGAACCGCAGCCCGATAGTACTACTTCAGTAAGTATCATATCTTAAATTATCCGGATCTAAGTTCAATCAATCAAGATCAATTTAATTTTAAGTGGATTACACTAGAAAACATCGAAAAGTGCGGTCAGAAATATTAAGTAGTTAGATTTACCACTTTTTTAGTATCTGCGAACAATATATAGATAGGTAACCTGAGTGCGTTTGCAGTGGCGGCGCGGCTCGCTGGACGGCGGCGGCGCAGGGCGCGAGGCGTGCGCCGTGGCGGTGGTGCGCGTGGTGCTGCCCGACGAGTGCCGCGGCTCCATCCGCCGCGTGCCCGTGCCGTGCCGCCCGGGCGCGCGCGCGCGGGACCTGTGCCGCGCGCTCGCACACGCCGCAGCCATCACCAACCCTCAAGACTATGCCCTGTTCGCCTTGCACGATGGACACGGTAGCCTTCCTTTTTTTGTTTTTAAATACGACCATTTGTTCTGGTCGAAATTCAAATTCAAGGTTTAGAAACGTCCCATGTAGCTGCAAGTTGGGAAAATTCTTAATAATGAATATTAAAAATTATAAATGTCTCTTTTATCTTTTTTACAAGTTTCTGGTCATTTGCGTACTAGAAAAATGTAATATAAAAAAACGAAGTTACCTGAAAAGGTATTAAGTTTTGAATCGAAACTTGTTTAACTTTAAATTATGAAATCCTGAATAACTGAGATACAACTAAGTTTAAGACAATACTTTAATGACATAAAATCCAATAGTTTTATTGCCATAGCTACCGAAATTCATTTACCAAAAATATATTTACTTTTATTATTTAATAATTTTATTTTTCATTCTAGAAACAATGTTGAATGAGAACGACTGCCCACAAGAAGTGATGTCGGAGAAGAGCGGTCAGAACTTCACGCTCGCCTACCGCAGGATAGACGCGAAGATCGCATGGCCACAGCAGGCCCTGCTTTCTTACCCGTAGAGGACGCTTCTAACTCATAATATATAGTCATTAAAAGCAAAAGTAATCTCCTAGGATTAGAAAACTTGCATGAAACATTCTAGAACAACGTAAAATCATGCTCATTAAAAGTAAGAACTCAAAATATATTTGGAATCGCAAATTAACTATATTTTTATCACATAAACAAAAATAAAGTGATATTTTATTCAGTGGTCGTAAGTGCTAATGTTTTCTAAGCTTAACTTACATGTAAGTACATCGCTTAAACGCAGTATTTTTAAAGCGTCGCTACTCAAGAGCAAACTAATGTCATATAATTGTAGCTTTTTTACTCAGTAATGTATAAGTAACATTATTATGTCTGACTGACCTCTCGGGAGTTATCCCTTTTTTGTACATTTTGTATCTCGTGTGGAAGTTATCTTTTCAACTTTGAATGAAGTGGTATTGTATGGATAAATGTTTTACCATTTTTTTTATTACAAATTATTCAAGAAGTCTAACTCGTTGCACGCGGTTAGAGACTAAAAAACTACCTTGTAAAGGTATTATTTATTTGTTCAAGTGTGCGTTTGTGCATGTTCCTAAATTTCGATGCGTAGATACATTAAATAACTCACCAAATTGTTGTTTAAGTTAAATTAAATTTAAGAATTTCTTTGAAAATTTCTAGTTCTAAAATTTACTTTTGAAGTATCTATACATATATTTTAACTCTTACTAACTTGTTTATGAACTGTGATGTTAATCGTATTAATTAGTAATACTGTAAGGTTTGTATTAATTTTTGTATATTCGTAGAGCTGTTTCTTAATATAATTTATTTATATATAGTTGTAAGGTAACCAATACAACGTTAATAGAATAATGGGTAAACTGAGTGGAAATGTGTGTATTTTGGAAGTACGAAAGGTTAGCCTTTAGCATTGATAAGATTTTTGATAACCAACATGTCTCATTACACCTTCATACTTTACAACTATTTATTATAACTGAACTGATTGATGTTCACTAAAGTTTACCCGTTATGTAAACGTATTCAGAAGAATGTCTTAGGAACCTTTCGGACAATATTTTTCTAGTTTTCTAACCTAACATTGAAAGTTTAATTAGTCTTGCTAAGAATGAAGTATTTCGGACAAGGCCCACAATTAATTTGTTCAAAATTATTGATAGAAGTACTTAGTAGATTCAGTACAACTTGTTGCACTATTGGGAGAATTGTTTATCTAACTTCAATAGCCACATTCTGGGTTTCAGAATTAGGTACCGTCCATATTTTTATTGCTTGAACAATAAAAATATGGATCTTATCTTCTAACATTTTAACTCTAATCGATTCTTATTTAATGAGCAACTTTTATTTTTACAAAATAAAATTCTTGACAAAAATAAGAGGACGAATAACATTTTTTACATTTAATTTTTTATTAAATCAATAGGAACTAATCAAATTAATAATCATTTCTTTAATTTACGTGCACTAAATTGTAAGCCTATTTTTTGACGACATAGAATTCGTTACCCATTTGTTTACAAACACAACAGCAACAAATTACAAGATTGAGAATGTAAAAACTCTTCCTGAAGTACCTACCTATCAATAATTGATGTTTTTAATGAGTAATACAGTGTAGAACTACCATTATTCTGAATGCGTGACTGTCAAAAGCGCAGTGAATAGCGCGCCATTTTGTATTTATTACGTAAATCTTATTAACATTAGTTGTAAAAACACGTATATTGTGTTTTGATAAAGTTTTCAGTCATATAGTGAAGGAGTAAATGAATTTTTACCAAATTTATTCAAAGCCTTTCATTGCATAGCGTTGAATATTGTTTTCTTCAGTAGGTACCTACACTTATCCCTTTCCGTAGTTCGAATACTAAACAAAATGTACCGCACAAAATCTGTTTATAGTTTTATATAGTCGGAGGAGGGGGCAATAAACAGATTGGTAACAAGCGGCTTCATTGATGATATGTTCTAATTAGTGCCAATTTAGTAAAATAAAAAATACACTCATACATTTTATCACTATTACCTTAAGGAAACTAATCGGAAACTAAGTCTATTCAGAATCAAGAGAGAGATTCAGAGACAGGCGCATACAAACATAATTAGCACACACAGACCTTTTTTGTGTGCCTCACTGGCAGATGGGTCACCTGAAGAAAAGTGACCGGCAACTCAGGAGTTACAAGCGCGTTGGCAGCTTTTGAACTCCTTTCTTAAAGGCTTGAAAGTCATTTCGGCCCGAAAATATCGTAGGCAACAATTTGTTAAACGGATTGGTTGTGCAAGGCAAAAAGTTTGGTATCACTCTAACAGTAAATGATAATACAAATACAGGTGAATTACGTCTGGATTTGTTTGAAGATATAGTAATACAAAGTCTCTCATAAACCTCTATGCACTTAAGCCGTTTGCTAGGCCCTTCTTTAACTCTCTCTCTGTCAATCTATTCTGCAGGCTACAATAAACAAAGTGTTAAAGAGCACAAAGTTCTTCCCGATTTAATAGCGGTGGTTGGATAACTAGTTTGTAAATACACAGCTATTAGAAAACTAATGACTGCCTAGTGGTGGAAAAATAAATGACAAGGTCTAAAATAATCATGAAATCAGTGTTTCATATAAAGAGTTGCAACCAACTTTAACGCATGTATTTCATGCTATTCTATATTTCATCATAATATAAAAGTATATGAACACTTATTGGAACCTCTCAATTTTTTTAATCATTTATAACCTAGAAGGGGGAAAACTTCCTCACAGGCATATTCGTTCATACAAGAGAAAGCGACTGATTTTACTACTTTTCTCTTTTTCATGTATCATTTTTTTTATGTGAAAACACGATTAGGTTACATGTAAATCTCATATACATACTATATTACATATATATATATATATATATATAGTATATTCCAAATATAATTTGGACTGTTATAGCAACTATTTCTTAGTCTATAGCTTGTGGTCACATGGCTACAGTTGAATCGATAAAACACGAGACTCTTGTTCCGCATAAACGTCTAAAAGGGATAGTATAGTTTAGATAGTCTAATAAGCAATAGTGAAGATCAGAAGCATCTCATATTCCATTACACACCAAATTATTAATACTGAATATATTATTTTTTAAGTAACAGGCCGTGAAACGTATTCCACATTATAACCTACATTCAACTTTGTATCCCTTAGAAGATAATCATAATATGCAGGCTATCTACCCTAAGAAGTTACCCGCGCCAAATTGGGATAGAGTACACTTGGAGCATCCTGTGAAAAGATACATCGGAACTGGTATATCGAGTGAAACTATTGCTCGGGGATGGAGACCGCCTGGGGAGGTTCTGAAACAGCAAGTAAGTCTTCCGAACTAATGTTATAGATCTAATGGATGGTCATGATTTAAAGATCCTCCTCATTTTTCGTGCCCATCTTCTTTAGTTCCTTAGCCCCTGCTCGTCCTTATCTGATTGAATCTTTTTCTTGATCTTATTTCAATCAAAGATATAAAATAATTCTGAGAATTGTAAGAAGTAAAGAACATTGTTACTATTTCATCAGAAACCTACACAGCTCCTGGAAAGCAGTAAATTCGATTTTAGGTTCTGTGAATTTCTAAAACCACTTGTTATAAAGCGATGTTACTAGTAAGTAAAGGATGTCTTATGTTAATAATATAAACTATCATTTAAAAAAAAAAAACTTTATGGGTTGACAATTATTTGGAGACGTAAGGCAGATTAAGGCGAGGTTGCAGTGATTTTGCACTTTTTTGAAGAGAAATAAATACCCTAATATGCATTTATTGTGCAAGAAAATAAATATTTTATAAAAATTAAACATATAATCTAAAGATCTGTAAAGATGGAAACATGATTTATGGAATTTGGCTCGATAAAAAAAATCACAAACATAGCACTAACTCACGATGTGAAATAGAAATTGTTGTAAAATGCCACCATGGATTCACGTAAAAATTATACCAAAAAATAGAGCTTATTTTTTTTAGGGATTTGTAAGGGTACATTTTCACATATTTGTACTTATAAAAAAAGGAACCAAAAAATATGTTTTTGCGCTTGCTTACGACGGCGAAGTTCGCCTGTCAGAGCTCGCTGAGCCTTGTTCGGGCAGGTAGAAAATCTTTCATTGCAAAATGGTAAGTGACGTCTTCATATTATATTTTTTTATTAGTAGTAATTTTCACTACATTACTTACATTTATGAAATTATTTTAATGTTTTTAACGCGTCTTTGTAACACTAGATTATAAATTTACTAAGAAATAATTATTTATATAAATAATTAAACAACCTCTACCTAAATATTTATTTGTTTTATGGTAAATTATTTCCGTCGACAAAGTTTATAAAACACGAAAATAGTAAAATTTTACAAACACATCAGTTTCACTGCGCCACAGTCTAAAAAAATCAGTATGCATGTGAGTGCGGTAAATAAACAGTATTCATTGGTAGTATAGAAAGAAGGTAATCAGAAAATTTTATTAGAAATCTCTAATTTTGGTATAGTCAGGCATATTTAAATTATGTGGAATTCAACAGTAATATAAGTTTATTTATTGTTATTTTGCAGCACTTCGATGAGACAAAGCATATTCACAGGCGTAGTTGAGACCCTACAGAAATCAATTTCTATTGATCATAATACTACGTTAGTTTTTTTATAAATACATTATATAAATGGAATAACTGTTTTTTTTTTAGTTTTGTTGTGTGAAAACTAAACAATGACACTATTTTCAGTGAACAAGAAAACATTCAATATGCGACATTACAAAACTTTGTCCCAGAAATTCAAGATTCTCTTGAAATACCCAATATATCTGAGACGCTTGTTTAGTGAGTTCTCTTTTGATCAAGTTTGTTTTCAAAGGCTTTAATTGTTTAGTCCTATTTCTAAGCAAAATATTCTTAAAAGTACGAGTAAAATGCCTCTGTACAGTAACAAAGTCACGACATGACCCAATTTCATCCTGCATGTTAACACTTAGGACGGCAATTCAACACGTATCTATCTCTTATTTTATTTATTTATTTTTAGCCTGTATTGTCCCACTGCAGGGCAAAGACCTTCCTCTCTCCCTTCCACATCTCTTTGTAGTATGCTAGTTCGGACCAGTCTTTTCGGAAATCGTCGAGTTCGTCCCGCCATCGTCGCCTGGGCCTACCACGTTGTCGTTTAGCGCCTTGTGGGACACAAGTGGTGCTAATTTTTGCCCATAGATCTGTCGGCATGCGGAAAACATTTCTGGCCCATTCCTATTTGAGTGCAGCGGCTTTATGAGTGACATCTGCTATTTGTGTTTTGGAGCGTATTGCTGTATTTCTTATTCGGTCTGTAAGCTGTACGCCCAGAATACTACGCTCCATGGCTCGCTGGCAAACTTTCAGCGCGGACCTCTGCTGTCCAGTCAAAGACCAAGTTTGTGCACCATTTGTGAGAATGGGGAGGATGCACATGTCCATGAGCTTACACTTATGACATAAGGAAAGGTTACCTTTCATGAGGTCATTCATTGACCAATAACGTCTGTCAAGAAATCGTAACGATTTCTTCAGAAAATAATAATGATGTGAAAGAGGTTCTTTGGACTAGTGATGTGCCGGATATCCGTATCCGTATCCGTATCCGCGGATATCCAAGGGAGAAGAGAGATCCGTAACCGTATCCGTATCCGTGACTTTTTTGGCGGATCTTTCAATACATAGATGAAATTCTATATAGGTGAATTTGTATTCACTGTAAAACTCTTAGGTATGTGTTTGTAACATAAACAGCAACAGCAACAAAAAGCAGTATAAACAGCAACTTTTTTCTGGCCAACGTCAAAATGAAAAAAAATTGGCCCTCCATTCAAATGACCAATCAAATGTTGTTAGTTTGTATGGAGAAACAATTTTTTTTCTTTCGTTTTCGGTGTTACTCCAGAAGAAAAGTTGTTGTTTAAAATGTTACTTATATGCACTTCAGAGGTTTTCAGTAAATTTAAAATAACCCTGAATAATGGTTATTAGGTAGCTATGAAAAACCATTGAATTCTGTTCAGATTACTTTTTATTTCTTAAAACAAATATTTGGCACCTTTGTATTGCAATCATTTATCGTACTACACTAAATCAACTAGGCAGGTCGTAGGTACTGAAAGAGCTATCTTTATAATGAGATCAATCAAACATCTTTGTATTAGCTTATTAAAATAATGAAATATTTAAATTTAAATTAACGCAAAGCGTCAAGTGGCGACAACAATCAAGGTCACGGGCTCCGATTGAGTTAGAAACTTAAGATCCGTATCCGTATCCGTATCCGCGGATCTTGTCACCAAATATCCGTATTCGGATCCGTATCCGCGGATATACTTTGTTAACGATCCGGCACATCACTACATTGGACATAAACTTAGCGGCTACAGCTGGAATCGTGGCAACAGGCATCGGGCAGTTTGAAAAATTATTTTCTGCAATAGACATATCCGTCTTTTCGACACATACATACGCACAGTTATATGAACATCAACAAACAAGGTATATGAACATTGGGAACTGACAGCAGCTGATACTATGCAAGCAGTAATAGATAAGGAGAGAGAAATAGCCGTATCCGAAAGTCGAACTAAAGGTGGATGTCCAGTGATCGATGTGTGTGTCGATGGAGCATGGAGTGCGCGCTCTTATGGCACCAATTTTAAGGCCCTTTCTGGCGCTGCTGCTATTATTGGCAGAAAAACAGGTGCGGTGTAAAAAATAAATACTGTTTAGTTTGTAGCCGAGCTAGTAAAAATAACATAACGCCGCCAGAACATAAATGCTTCAAAAACTTTGATGGTCATCTACCTCTATGGAAGCAGATATAATTGCGGAGGGTTTTAAAACATCTATTGCTATGTACGGAGTAATATACCAAAGACTTATAGCAGATGGTGACTCTTCCACATATGCTAAAATTTTAAAGGTGAAACCCTCCAAAACACAGAATTAGACTGTTGAAAAAATATAATTATATAATTCCCAATCATATTGTACAAAGGAAGATGTGCAGCAGCAGTCGTATCTCTTATCAGGCATTCCGCCATTTCAACTGAGCAACAAAAAATGTTAAATAGAAATCCTTCAAGCAGAGTTTTGAAGTACATCGAAAAAAAGGGCCCATAAACGTAAATTGGATTTTGAACATCCAGTAAAAAATATACGTAGATTTCAAAACGCTAATAACGACCTATAGCACGACTATGGTCAAGCTAGGTCAGCACCAGATATTTCAATGTTTGATTTAGAGCGACGGAAATCTAGTTATTTAAACAATTTAATATATCTTACAGCAGACAGAGATCATATTGAAAGATCGACCGTCCCACAAAGGGACTAAGAAAAAAAAATAACAGCTTCGAATTTAGAAAGTATTTGCAAGAGAAAACCCTCTACGGATACATCTTTCTTTCCATACAACAAATTCCTCAAGAAAACCAATTGAAAATTTAAGCATGTGGATTTTTTATTGATAAGCAATACCCATTTATTGGAGCTACACCTGATGGAGTGAAATGCTCATTAGTTGCTGCCAAAGAAGGATTGCAGCAAGCCCTAGAAAATAATTAAATTCAGCTGATCCGCTACAAAAAAAAATCGCTAACTGGTTTCATCAAATTCAAGGTCAGTTACATGTCACAGGCCATTAAAAAATATTCTTTTTGGTTTGTGGGTATCATAAAATGAACCAGCGTTTATACAATATATTGAAAAAGACGAATTCTGAAAAGAAAAAATGGAACCAAGGTTGATTCAATTTTATTTGACCTGCTTACGGCCGGAATTGGTTAACCTAAGGCACACGCGTGGTATGCCAATCCGAAACATATTTTTAACCTCAGGAAAAGAAAATGAAGCATCATCAGGCTCTTTAACATACGCTTCAATTCCGAGTGTATCTGACACTAATATTATACAGTACACTAATTTATGAAATTTTCTTTGAAATAGAAAGCGAAATATTAATTATTATATATTGATAGAACCAATTTAAGTATGTTGGTAAATAAAGTCTCTTCAGACAGCACGAAACGAAACGCACTATTGTAACTACGCTGTGCGAATAGGAAAACCCGCTTGCCTATTGCGCTTTGACATGATTGATATAAAACTTAAGAAAGTTTAGAATAAAACCTCGTCCTCAATCAACATATTTTATTAAAGTAATGTGAATTATTCAACTTATGTTGTGTGTATTATTAATTAAAGCCTGTATTATGGTACCCAATCTGCTGATAAACTCATGAAGTAAGAGAAATTTGTACAATAAGGTATTAAAAAAAATCTATTGTTTATGAGATTTTGAGTAAACACATTATATATGTAGGAAGTAATGACCTAATATCCTATAACAAATAACTAATAAACCTTAGTTCACCTGTTTAAACGGTCATTTAATTACAATATTTTTTTAATTTCGTGTATACCTTCTTTAGTAGAAAGCTAACACACAGGTGAATAACAAAAGTTTAAAAGTGCAAAAGCCAATTTGAATCATATACCTCAAACATGATATTCTTTTCTAACTACTGCATTACGAGTACGCTACACTGTGGCACAATATCTGGACGTAACTTTGAGTGGCGCGCAGCCGACTCGCGCAGCTTTCTGACACGCTGCGTCTTTGCGTACGATACCTTAGCAGGGAGGTGAGGGAATGTTTTGCACACCTACACACCGCGCTGCAAGAGCGCCTTAAACATTAGTTTTACATCTTTATACAACAAAAATATATTTTACAGAAAAAGCCGTTTGAAGAAATAAGAAACTATTTCCATGACTATAATGTCACGAATCAACTGACCCGATCACAAACGATCGAGGACTTCGGGATCAAACCACCTGACACCAAGCGGTTTAACAAACACACATCTTGTACAGAAAACGAATACGTTAATCATCAGAGTAGAAGAGTATGTTTCAATGACTTAGAAAAGTAGTTACATAATAAAGTTCAGAGAACCCTTTGTTTTAAAGTTGAATAATGTGTTAATTATGGAAAAATTAAGAAGTCTAGTAGAAAGAAAGCTAACATGTTTAAAAGTTTCACAAATTTAAAAGCCGTAAAAGCGACTACGTTAAAGTACACGCGTTCTGTGTACATATTTTGTTGACCTGTTATGGCGACAGTCTGTGCAATAATTTACTGAGATTAGGTCGAAATTCGAAGATATTCAGTAATAAGTTAGACTTGAATTTTTCAAAATTCATCTCTTGGTTAAGAAATTTAATTAAATTTAATTGAATATAGTACAAATATAGTGCTAAATATTATCAACTACCGACTTCACAGATAGCTGACAGAGTACCCCGATTGACTGCACATGGAACAACTGAGACGAAAAGTCAATTTACACCACCCGTCACACCATCTCGACTTATAACTAACAAAGATCAATACAAATATCCAGCTACATTACCCCAAGCTCCTGTAAGTTTCCGAATTAAGATATCAGTAGACACTCGAATATCGTTATTGAAAAAAACATTTCAATTGTTCAAGTCCAATTTAGGTTTATATTTTAAAGTGAACATGCGTCAAACGCTATACCTACTGAGATTTAAAGAAAAGTACACTCATGTTGTCGGCGATTCGTAGTAAGAAAGAGTATTAATATTTTTAGTCTTTTGTTTTACCTAGGTATTCATATTTCAAATGACATTGAACATTGGAAGTTATTAGATTTCATATTATAGTATTCGATCATTACGGGCGTAAAGTACGAGTAATATTTCAGTGAATTATGTTAAGAGGTATAATAAATTGCAATATAAGCCTAAAGACTGTACAATATATTAAAAAACAAATAACCGTAGCATTAAACTAAAAAATAAAAAAGGAAATTTCTCAGTGTATTTTCAATTTAGCATATTACTCTTGAAACAAATCTCTTACATTCAGCCACTCCCGGAACCAAGTTGGCGTAAAGACCTAGAACCACTCTACACAACCTACGAAGGTTTTGAGAAGCTATTAGATCCGTACTTGACGACAAGCCGACTCCATCACCGACCTTACACAGCGGATCAGTTGCAGAGAGCCTCGTGTAACAAAGACGTTGTCACGTATTATACTTTTAAGGATACAGTATACGTAAGTACTAATAATACTATAAAAGTATGTTTAATCATGACTTTGACTATAGTGAAATCACATGAACAAAGTAAAAATTTAAAAAGTCATGCAGCCTATAAAGTTACGTGGCAATAGAGTTAACGGGAATTATACTCTAAAAGGATTTAGGCTGCCTGAGTTTAATCGTATGATATGTATAAGTTCGTATTGTAGTTAAAGAATAAATAACGATTACGACGAACAATGTTATATTAGTTTTCTCGATTTCTCGGTACTCAATAGAATATCTCAAGCATGGATTTTGCAGGTTACTAATAAAGTGTAGAAACCATTCAGCATTATCGAATGTATCTATTTAAAAATTGAAAATTAATGAAATTGATATGGCCGTGTGTTAAATGTGTTAGAATATTATATCAAATCATCATTTCGACACCGCAAAAAGAGACTTACTCTTACTTTTTGTACATTTAAAAATAGTATTACATGATTTTTGTCTATTTGTTATCTATTGTTCTATTTACAGACTCGCACGCGTAAACCAGATACAGAATGGCGATTACCAGTAAGCAGACCAAAGTCTGTTTTTGACAGAGAAAAGTTTAAAGAGGGATTACGCGAAATAAGAACGCATAATAAACTACCATTTGTGCCTGGGTATTGTCACTTAAAAGTCACTTCATGTTTTCTTACACTACTACTAAATTGCACTGAATGTATGTAATTTCGGATCGTCACACTAGGGCTATACTCGTATATGACAGTCGTACCCAAAGCTCAAAATATACTAGAAAATAAGAGTACACTTTAAGTATGTCAATCCGATATATGACTAACTTCTCATTAATTTAAATATCACTAACATGTGTGGGAATACCTACCTTAGATAGACAATAAAAATCATAGCTAACTATATTAATTTAATAATTTGAATTTGAGTTTTCCAATGTGCGTCGGATCCGAAGTTAATCGGGCATTGGGCAATACCAATTCCAAAATTGTTCTTGTAACATACGCGCGTATGTGGTTCTTTCAAATCCTCTTATTTTAGCTTCCTTTCTGTAAACAGAAAATGTATGAACTTTCATTTTTGTGAACAACCTCTGACCTGCCTTTGATATAAACCAAGTCACCAGCTCTTTCATAAATGTCGATCGTAACATCCTATATCAATTATAAGTCTCTAAGCGGGATGATTGGTAACTAAAACTAGCATTTGAATATACATACCTGTATGTTTCTCACTTAAAATATAGCTTGATGCCACTGACTTTAAAATCAAAAATCCTAAATGTAAAATAGAAAATAAAAATAATTAAAAAAATAGTTTTAATTATCTTTGTTCACCTTTGTTCAATTATTTTTGTTCCACAGAACTTTCCGAACGGAGGCAAGTGACAATTATATATCACCAAACTTACAACCAGCTTCACAAATACATAACCTAGAAGAGGAAGTCAGAGGCTACTACGAAAAATGCTTAGCCAATATGGAAACTAACGTTCCAGAGGAGTACACTGCCTTCCGGCAGCAATATGCAACAGAAAACTCAGTGGTGGGCTCAAGAAAACCTGTATGTGCAGTGTTTGACCAATTTACGGAGAAGAATAAGAGACTAGCAATAAAAAGTATTTTTAGAGGATAGGTTTATACCTATCCTCTAAAAATACCGACATAAGTATATTTTCAAATTAAGAACTGAAATAAAAGTTTTTAAACTGTATGTGTGTTTTTATCTAGGTAACTATGTACATCGATAGTTCCGTCAGTTAACATTTGTAGATTTGTAACTATGTCATCAAAGCGTCATACACCAGCATCTGTCACGTGACTTAATGCCTATTTTGTACGGAATTATTTTTTATGAGAAATAGACTGGTATTTTCGTATCCATGTCCCTTCATTCATAATTAGAAACTAAAAACCAAGCAATTTGTTATTAGTGCACGCACAAACGTCTCCCGTCACCATGGCTAACTGCGGAGATAAAAACGCTAATCAAAACGAAAGCAAACAGCGAAATCGAAATTCAAAAAGAATCCAAGCGATAGCAACCGCGACAAATACGTGTTTATCAGGAATCATTGCAGCAGGGTGTGTAGGAACGCTCAACGCCGATATATCCACAGCTCCGTTGAAAACGGGGATCCAGCTAAAGTCTGGAAATTTTTAAGGTCAATTGGAGTAGGCAAATCTGTTAATGAATCGTTTTCAAAAAATATAAACTTAAACTTACTTAACCAACATTTCACTGCTTCGTCAAATTTTGATAAAATGACAATAGATGCTACACTGAAACATCTTACTTCTGCCCCGACTCCTGACTGTTCTCCCTTCTTCTTTAGTCAACTTGCAGAGTGTGATGTTAGGAAGAGCATAGTGTCTATTACTTCAAATGCAGTGGGTTCTGACTGTCTAAGCCGCAATATGATCCTCCCAATCCTCGATGTAATCCTTCCTGTTGTTTGTCACATACTAAACTTTTCAATTACCTACAGCGTATTTCCAACGGCTTGGAAGGATGCTCAAGTTATACCCATCCCCAAAAAAAAAACCCCGCATCCTTCTCCGATTACCGCCCTATTTCAGTCCTCCCTTTTCTATCCAAGGTCCTTGAACGTCTTATTCATTCTCAACTCACGAATTTCCTATCCAGAAACATGCTCCTAAATCCTCTCCAGTCCGGTTATCGACCTGGTCACAGCACCACTACTACCCTAGTCCATATTACGGAGGATATCAGATCTGCTATGGAGAACGGCGAGCTTACAGTTCTAACACTGCTGGACTTCAGTAACGCATTCAACACGGTCGACTTTGACGTTCCGCTGTGTACATTACGCACTCTTAACATATCTCCAACTGCGATTGACTGGTTTCGCAACTACCTGCTTGGTCGCCGGCAGCGCATTAGTATTGAGAGCACTGTTTCATCTTGGTGTAGTACTACAGCCGGTGTACCGCAGGGCGGCGTGCTATCTCCCCTACTTTTCTCTGTTTTTATCAACACTATCACTAATAATCTATCGTCTTCCTACCACCTGTTTGCAGATGATCTCCAGATCTATTCTAGGGCTACACTAGGTAATCTGGCTGATACTGTTGGCACCACAAATGATGACCTAGATAAAATATGTAGGTGGAGCAACTCCCACGGTCTGAAAATAAACCCAACTAAAACTCAGGTTATTGTTGTTGGAAGTTTGAGAATGATCTCCAAAATTGACTGGACAAATCTGCCTCAAATCACTTGCAACGGCACACTTATTCCGTACAGCGATAGGGTAAAAAACCTGGGCATTTACAGTGATACTACCTTACCTTGGGGACCTCAGGTACAAGAGCTGAGTCGCAAAATGTTTGCCGCTGCAGGGTCCTTGCGCCGACTTCGCAACTTTCTACCTACTGCTACCAAGATTACTCTTGCACAACCCCTTCTTCTCCCCATCCTTGATTATGCTGATGCCAGCTATCTAGACCTTACTGAAGACAAATTGAATAAGCTTGAGAGGCTCCAAAATCTCTGCATAAGATTCATATTTGGACTTCGCAAATATGATCATGTTTCTGAATTTCACAAAAAGCTTAAGTGGTTACCCATTCGCCTTCGCCGGAATGCACATATTCTTTCTCTTCTCTATAGTATTCTATTTAATCCTTCTATTCCACAGTACCTCAAATCACGGTTTAAGTTCTTGATTGACACACACTCCAAACTGTTGAGATCGTCTGAGAACCTAAAACTAAAAATGCCGGAACATTCCACAAAATTCCTTGACAGCTCCTTCTCTGTCCAAGCAGTTCGGTTGTGGAATACCCTACCGGTCGCAATCAGACGGGCACAATCACTTGCCTCATTTAAGAAACAAGTGAAAGAGTACTACCTGGAAGACGGCAACGTCAATTAACTTCTTCTAAGTCGACTAGGTCACACTTTTTCTTATAATATATGTATTTATAACTTATAAATCGTCGTATCTAATTACATGTATCTAATAACACCATATTTTCCCCCTAGTATGTTTTATATTCACCTAAGGTCAACAAATAGATATTATGTGTAATTATCACTTTTTATAGTTATGTATATACTACTTTGATTTCTTCTTCTTTTTCTTATTCTTCTTTCCTAACACACCAGCAACTACCCAATACCTCTTCCTCTTAATGTTTCTCTCTATACCACGGTTGCCTGTAAGAGATTGCCTCTGGGCGATAAGGCCGCCACTTGTACTGAACTAGTTTTAGGTAATTATGTATACTTATTTATATCTGGTGTACAATAAAGTGATATATTATTATTATTATTATTTCTGAAATTCGCTCAAAAAATTTGATTTTTATTAAATACTCGATGAACGTATCATCGAGTATTCATCGTATCATTATGTCAATTTTTTTTTCTCTAAACGGTAAACGATATGTACTTATTCGAAAGTTATTCTACAAACTGTAGGTTTTCGTATTAAATAAAACCTCTTTTCTAGAAACAAGTGGGGTAGAAGTTTTGACAAGAGCCACAGACACTGATATTTTAATAATTTTATTAGGTAATTTGCACAAATTGCCATATTTACTTTGGTTCTCAAACAGAACATCAAAAGGGAAAAACAGTAAAGACGAATTCGTACTACATGCTCCATTGTACAGCAAGCAAGCCCTATGAACATTAAACGTTACACGAGTTATGCGACCGCATTTAAGCCGTCGTACACACTGTGTTTAACAAACGATTTCTCAACAGATATTCTGGCAATTGTAGTCAAATTATTTTTTGGCCATTGGCCTTGGCTCTTTCAAAAGTGAATATCACAGTTTAAATCGTCGACATGCTGTAGATCAGGCTCGACAAGTAAAAATGTTAAAGTATCGTATGTTGGCTCCTGTTGGTTTTTTTTTAATACTTAATACCTACGTAAAATTATCAGCTGAATAACTTTTGTATTTGTCTCGCTATAATGCTTTATTTTCGAGATACTGGGATATAACTGAAAAAGTAAAGTTATTTTGCAATTTTGTTTTTAACTTGTTTAATAAGTTATTATGTGAGCAATGAGCTTGTGTTTGCGCCAGATATCATTGAATTCTATCCAGCATCAAAAAACATGTTTTTTAAACATCTGACACCCAATTGAAAGAAAGTTGTCAATGAATTAATGTTTTGCTAGCAAGTCAATGCAGATTTTGTTTGCTCATAGACTTTACACAATTCTTAATAAGCGCATTCATATACCTATCTACTTCTACTGTTCACTTCTATTATATACTATGACAACAAGCTGTGTCAATAGAATAACGAAGTTGTAACAAAATTTAAAACTATTCAGTGTTTATTTTCAGCAGGTGTCTTGATGTTTTTTGTTTCATTATGTTTATGGTAAAACTGAAACTTATTTTAACAAGATTCAGATAAATAATATTTAACAGTTACAAATATTGGATGGGATTATTTTAATTTTAAATGAAAGGTATTATACAGAGCTAAGGTCATCGACATAGCAAACCGGATTAGCAAGCTGAAGTGGCAGTAGGCTGGCCATATTAGCCGCAAAACCGACAATCGTTAGGGTAAACGAGTTCTGGAGTGGAGACCGTCTAGGCAAACGTAGTGTAGGGCGCCCACAGGCCAGGTGGAGTGACGATTGGCGGCGAGCGCGTTGCGCTTCCAGGGAGCACAGGGAACATGGGGTTCCCACACGGGGGGGGGGGTCGTCTACTCGTCTGTAGATGACCCGAGGTATGTCGGGGCACCAGGGACTTCCTTTCTAGGGTATACCTGGTTCCCCGGCTATTAGTACCCGAGACGGCGTGCGGTTTTAGTCGGTTCGAGTCCGACATGCCACCGACAGGTGGTATCCGAGGGGATTTCCGCGAGGAAAAAAAAAAAAAAAAAAGGTGGAGTGACGATCTGCGTTGTCTGTTGTCTGTTGTGAGGAGTTGGATGCGAGAAGCCGAAAATTGATGTAAGTGGCGTGCAATGAAAGAGGACAGCAGTGGACTGCGATAGGCTGATGATTATGATGAAGCAGAGATGTCTCTAGGACTATGACGTTGTGTCACTACAATTTGCACACATAAAATTCCATAATCTCATGTTAACCTGCGCCAAGCGCTCATCTACATTTTGCGTATAACGTCTTATAAATATTTTACTGTCATACTTTCGTCGTAAAATATCGCAATACACATTGGGACGTTTCATTCTACACCATAGTTATAAATATTTGGTTCTCCTTTCTCAATAAGGCAAACAAATGCATAGTCTGTACTGGTTTGAACTAACCTGAACTGACGAATATACGTTGACAGTTGACATAAATCAATCACTATGGCGCACTAGATATCAGACGAACTAACATAAGGGAGAAAATTATGAGTTCCATTAAAAGAAATCAAAGAATATATCAAAATGTCCACATTTAAATGGAAATAGTTTATTTTATAATAGCAATCCTCCTACTAGTATATGGAGTTTACCTTATGCAGCCTTATTGGTTTATTATAATAACCGTGGCGCTAGTCTACACTGTCTACACACAAATATGTTCTGCATTAGGATGAGAAAGAAATTTGGTGAGTAAATTTATAATAAATATCTTTTTAAAGACACAAGTGGTCGACATCAGCATAGCGCTGTTTCTTTTGAAGAGCTTATATTTCTGTGTTCTATATGGGATCGCGCCAATCACAATGTAATTAAAATAACTATATTACACAATTGTTTCGTCTCCTTCTGCAAGCAAGTTATGCTCGCGAAGGAGATGGCGGAGCGGGACCGGGAGAGGTTTAGAACTCTTCCGGTCCGCCGAAAGAGTTCTAAATGCGATGACGAAAAAACCGCGGATGATTCAGGTGCCGGAGGTTGCAGGACGACTTCCGTCCTCCATATGCACAGGCTGGTAGTGACAGTTGAGTGTCACCCTAGCAGAAGCAGGCCAGGGTGAGGCGCGCTGTGGAGAGCGTGCGCCCTCTCGAGAGCACACAGGGAACATGGGGCTTTTCACATAGGAGGGGTCATCTACACATCATCATCATATTCATCCCGTGGGTGTCGTAAGAGGCGACAACGGGAGCAAACTACGCAGGACAATAGCACTGCAGAGAGAAGGAAAACTTGACACAAACCCTATACCAACCCATCTGGCCAGCGTGATATAGTAGGCCAAAACCTCCTTTCTAAGGAGAGGCCTATGTCCGGCAGTGGACTAGTAAAGGCTGTTGATGATGTGGGCCGAGATGAAACTCAAACTTTCTCTTCCTGGCTCCTACTAATACTGTACCAACTAAAAATAATAATAATGAAAATCATTGTGTGGGATGTGTCAGACATCTCACACACTGCCGTCTGATCCTAAACCAGGGACTGTGCTTTATTAACCAGACTGCTAATAAACATTAACATATTTCTAAATACGTACATATTATGAATAAACCACATCCAGATACAGAACAATGATCGTGTTCATCACTCAATATTTTTGTCCTGAGTGGGAATCAAACCCAGATACAGAACAAATGATCGTGCTCACACATAATAATTTTGTCCTGGGTGGGAATCAAATCGGCGACATCTGGCTTAGCAATCAGGGTCCCCAACCACTAATCAACAGACCCGTCAAAATAAGTAACCATATCATTACCCATGCTATTTACTATCAATTTGTACATAAAAACAATAAAATAGCAATAAATAAAAGAAAATAAATAAAAAAATCCCCCCCCCGGTCGCTCCTAAAAACCGATGGAAACTCAGGAAAACAAGTATTTTTTCTATACAAGAACATACTTACAAACGGGATGCGCATACTTTCTGCACTTTACAAGGACTTAGAAAACATGAGTTTAGTTTGAAACATTCTGAACAACGTGTTAAGTAAATACTACAACGGCACAACCAAATGGATTTTAACTGGCACAATAGGTACCGAAATTGACTTAATATACCTGGCTACTAAAAAAAGTTATTGCTCAATCAACACGACATATACTTGTAAGTACAAATTCTCATAAAACAACACTAAAACAATTTAATGCACGTTAATAGAACACAATACTGAGTAAGGTTGTCTGCTTTTAAACGTATCGAATAATATTTATCATACGCGAGTCTGGTTGGGTGCAGATCGGCCGTGGGGCCCGTGGGTCGTTCGTAGTTACATTATATTAACCAAATTCTGTTAAATAAAATAATAAGAGTTTTAGATTAATATGTCTCGATTTATGTTTTTACTAGTTGTGTTTGTATTGGCGATGAAAACATTCGAAACAGGTGCCCCGCAAAAGGTATTCAATATTATTTATTTCATTACGTAGGTATTATTAGTAATATTTCACTTAAATATTTGGTAAGAAATTTTGAATTTTTTCACAGTAACTATTTTCTACTTTATACTACTAATGCTATGAACATAATACATACTTTGTTTAACAATCCAATATTGTTTAAGAAAAATCTTTTCGTTCTGACGAAACGAGTTATTTATATTTTTAAAAGATTATTTATCAAACTGGCTAATATTAGTTGGCTAACTGTTCTCAAACTTATCGTTTTAAGTGTAATTAGATACCAATTTATTAAAGTACACGTTCGTCAAGAGGAAGAAACAACAAGGCTACAAATATGACTGTAGCGACTTGTACTGTTTAGTTATGTATTTTCGTAATAAGGTTCTAAACAAATAACCGAGACGCTGCCTGTTGTGTGTTTTTACACGTTGTCAACACATTAAAACATTCAAATGACTTCTTAGACAATCCCATATTCTACAGATTAACATTATTAAACACACAGGTCATTTTTTTTAAACAAATGTTAGTAAATAATTGTAGAGAGTTAGTTCTTTGCTTTGGAACTGTAGTGATAATACGATTTCAGTCCTAATTAATTATTACTTGCTGGGATGCTTGGTAGGTCAAGTATAAAATAAATATCCCTAATATTTTACGTACAGCTTCGTTTTCCTCTTCAGTTCTTTTTTCTTTTTCTATTTTCGCAATAAATTCTCTCACATTCGCATTTATTCATAATTTTAGTTAAAAAATTTTTGCTCATTCCTCGCAGTTTCACCTGCGTTGCTCTGTTCCAGAGAATTTCAGCGTGAAATTGCATAGCCTGTAAACATCCTCAGTAAGTATCTCTCTCTCTATCCAATTGCAATTTTTTTTTAAATGATTACACCAATGTGAATAAATAAACAATAAATATCTTGCTCTGGGAATTTACTGGGAATAACAGCTAGATCAATCATATAATCTTGATGTTAAGATTGTTGACAAATGATAAACGAGTTCGTTATATTTTGCTGTTGAAACAAACTCGACACTGAACGCAGGCAGCATTCAGTGTCGAATCATTTAATATCTACGAGAGGGCCCGTAGTTACCTCCCGGCATTTTTTTGATAATGAATTTGATATCATATATGATGATGAGTGATTGATTGAGTGAACGTAATCTGTTCTTTCCTGTATCTTAACTCTGTGTATACAATTTCTTGTTGTTTGGTTACGTAAACAAACTTAGTGTCGTATATATAAACATGTTTACTTAATTCACTTAATTCCACTTTTATCGTTGATTTTTTCACATCTTATTTAGTTTTACTAAATTTAGGCCAAAATGAAAAGTTCCTAACCTATAATAATTATGTATCAACAATGAAACTTAAAATTCCAATTATCCCAGTCGTGGGCAGTTCACATCCATCTGCTGCCAGCCATTTTCTTCAATTCGTGGTTACATCGTGCCCGAGGGTGCCCTACACTACGTTTGGCTAATCGCGGTCTCAGCTCCAGCGACCATCAGTCCGTCTGGAGACATGACATGACACTTCCACTTCAGCCTACTGATTCTCTGTGCGAGCATTTGAATTTGTCCATGGTTTAATCTTTTCATGTCTATTCCGAAATGGTTCGGGTCGCTGATTCAGCACTTATAGCAGCCCTATAATATTGACATATACAATAAAAATGTAGCTATCAATAGTTAATACTTCGCACGTTCTTTGAATGCATTAGTGTTATGTCTACATGCCTTTGACTTTTATATACACCGACACGTGTAAACAACCTGAAACAACTTTAGGAGCTGTATGAAAATAAATAAATACCATTTATTTTCTACAAGTAATTAAGTACGATACAATACGCGTAAAATGACAACAGTTGTAATTTTCAAAACGGTCTAAGCATTTAGTGAAGAGAAAATTAATACAGCGATTGTTATGGTGGTTTTTGTTATAAGTTTCTGTTGTCACTTTTCTAACAATAGAATGAAAAATGGTGTAAATGATTGTAGATCGCAAAAAACGTGAACATACATTAGACAATGTTTGTTCACTTTTTTGCTTCGAGTATTGAGATTTTACATACCATTGTAGTTAAATACTGTTTGTGGTAAATTAACATCATTCAGACTGTTTTTAAGGTTCTATATAGAAAGGGCTGAAAGTAAATAGTTACTCAGCCTTTGTTATATGTACGTCTGTCTGTTAGTGGACTGTATCTAATACAGAGGCAATAATCGTAAATATAATATCGTAATAGGTAGAAAGCTTATTTTTTTTACAAATACCAAAATTTAAAATGGAACAGGGCTCTTGACTAAGAAAATAATATTATTAGCATCCGAGGTGTACAACGAGCGACAGTTTAATTTTCAGTGTGCTCAGAGCAGCACACTAAAAATTAAACTACTAAATATACAGGAAGAGACGTATTTTTTCTCCGTTCTTGATGATTTTGCGGTAATATCCGTGTGATGACATAAGTAATAATAATAATAAAATATGAGTTGTTAAACATATGAGTCGACAAATTGGTTTGTAAATAATAATAATCATGCATGGCCAATTGTTACTACTGTGTGAAATCTTTGTGCTTAAAAATACAGTCAGTAGCGGATTAACCACGTAGCAAGAGTATCAAATGCTACGGGCCCCGAGCATTTGGGGGCCCAACGCACCAACGCTTTCTGACCCTAAAAAAGTATCTACTTATTGACTGTTTACGCTTATTAGAATAAATCGCCAAATACGATGCTTTTATGACACAACGTATTCAATAATAGTGCCAATAAAGGAAAGTGGCATACATCATATCTATCAAAACCAACTTGTGAGGAGTTTATCCATGTAAATCCATCAAACATACTGGATAAAACAAAATGTGGAATTAATAGCTGCAAATACTGCTCATTGTCATTCAGTTCTACTCTAGATATGTCCCATATATATCAAATGACGCTAATAGTGCGCTATGTTCTGCCATCTGTACCATTTGATAGATTTGTCTTGAACATAGACGACCATTCTGCTGAACGGCTCGCTAAAACTTATTAAATTTCTTAAGTGAGAGATGCATTGATATCAAATTTTGTCGTGGGCAAAGCTATGATAACGCCAGAAATATGACCGAAAATTAAAGACCATTACAAGGACGTATTAAGCAAATAAATATGTGTGCACAAAATATTCCGTGTCCTGCACACTCATAAAATTCGGTTGCTAAATGCGCTGTAGACTACTGTACAGAAGCATCATTTTTTTTTGATTTCATTGAAAATTTATTATATTTCTTTCCGCTTCTACCTTTCGATGGCGTCGTCTTACGAACGCACTTAAAAACTGTTTTGAAAATGTTGAGCTTACGATCTTACTTACTAGCTTTAGGTAAACGTATGAAAGCATATCAAAAAATTACTGCCTTGCAAGCTTTGGCTAAATATTTTTTTACAATCTTGTTTTTCGAACGTTGAAATTTCCTGGCGCATTTATTTGTCTTTTATAATCACCAACTACAGTGGTGAATGATCTTTCTCAACATAAAAACATATTAAAAATGACTTAAGGAACACGATGAGCCAAATACATCTTAACCATCTCACTTTAATAAATGTTGAATACGAGCCGATTTGCCCAAATTAAAGTTTGTTGTTACAGTTTTGTTTTATTTAATACCATAAACTTGATAACCTAAAACAGCCAAGGGGGGAACCTCTTGATAGATATTTGGTGCAAACCCGCGCTGGCTTAATCCGGCACTAAATACAGTTTATGACCGGCCATATTTGCTAGAGCGATAACGTCAATTTATTGTATCCGTTGTGTATGTACGATTTAATAGTAGTATTTAACTTATTGAGGTTTTTAGTTTTGACAAAATTTATTCCTTATTTTGTCAACTTCGTATTTATTGATATTTAATTGTTTTACTTGGTAAATTCACAAGTATTCGTACACGTTCTACGATGTCATGTTTTATCACCGGGTTAAAGCAGAAATAATAAACAGTTTTTTGTCTTTTTTTAGATATAGTCACAAACCATGCCTATCCACAAATCCTTTGTTGGTGTAAGATTCGGTCGTCGATTCACTCATTAAAAAATTGTTCTGTCAGCGAAACGTTCGTAGCGGAAAGGTTCTGTCCTTGAGTAGGTCTTATATAAAACGTATGGTCGGCGAATCGTTCGTATTTGAAAGGTTCTATCGTTGAACAACTCATAAAAGAAACGTTCTGTCGGCGTCTCATTCGGCAGCAAAATAATTGTCGGAGTTTAATTTCAGAATCAAATAAAGTTTATAACCAAATTGACGATTTAATATGATCGTGTATCTCATGTTATTCAACAAAATTAGCTTCCGGCAACCATATTTCTTGTAAATGTAAGAAACACGGTTTGCTCTCCTAAAACTATACAATGTTCTGCTTAACAGCGCCAGGTAATAGAATGAAATATAATGCTCTAACCTAAGTTTGTCTTTTATTATTTATTTTATTGCTTTCAAACCTACTAGCTAATTGGTTGAAAAAGTGTAATTCTTTTTTTATAACTTTTTGGGGAGTACTGTTAAATATTATCTTTCATTTGAACATGTTATTCTATCGTAATCAGATTTCGTTTGTTCGTGATTTTCAAAGTTATAAAGAAAATGAGATGACGTCCAAAATTAAAGTTATCATTCTGTTCTGTACCTACATGGCAATTTAGATGTGTATTGAACACATGCCTACCGGTCACCGGCTGAGGCCAACTTCTCATAATATTTGGGGCAGTGAAAGTTGTCCTGCAACGGATGTCCTCTCCTAATGTTTACTTGTAAACAGCTGGTCTTGTTTTACATTGCGTTTTAACGGAATAATGTGTCAATTGCTAAACCGTGGTTTATCCATAGACATGTTGCGTATTATTAATAAAAAAAAACAGTGTTCATTGGCAATTATTTGACAATCATAAAAATTTTGTATACTTATTTACTTTTTACTATGTTTTAGTAACTTGATTATTCGTAATTAAAATTAAATAATTTATAGAAAACTAGTTGACCCGACAGACGCTGTACTTACTGTAAAAAAAATCAATAATTAAATTATATAAAAAAATACTTCGGCTTCGTTGGTTCCGGCATAAAACTGTGTTGTGTAAAAATGGTGAACCTATAGCTATTCGGAGAAACATTTTCCGTTACCAAAAAATACGATTTTTTGGATTGGATACTTTATGTTCCCCTGAAAAAATAACACCGTATTATTATAAACACAGGAATTCAAATTTGTTTTTTTGTTAAGCTTTTACGCCTAAACTAGGTACTCAACTAACATAAAATTTTGCATTAATGTTGTCAGAGAAATAAACACAAAATGACGTACAGAAAAAAAACTACAAAACATACCTACTCGAGGAATAGAAGGAAAGAAAGAAAGAAAACACATTTATTTTGTGCTTACACCATCCTTCTTGTCGCTTCGGTTGCCTCAATGCTCTCAGTATTGAGGGCCTGACCGCCTCCTCGTAGCAAGAGTTTGCTGTGGATCACTCGACGCCACCCGTCCTTATCCGCCGCCGAGTGTAGAGCATCGTGGACTGTGATGTCGAGAATAGTGTGGATCTGATCAGTCCAACGGGCTTCTACCTCGTGGTCTTTTTCCATCCATTTTCCCCGTGACCATTATCTTCCCCAAGTTGCCGTCATCCTTTCTGGCAACGTGGCCGAAGTATTCAGAACTCTACGCAGGCAGATGATAGAAAGCCTTGTCTGTATGTTGAATTCTTGCAGAATTGAAACGTTAGTGTGATATGCAGTCCAGGGAATACCTAGCATCTTTCGCCCGCACCAAGCAACGTCAGTGCTTATACAAATACAAACAATAAATGAATAGATGAAAACAAATCTATGCTTACGCTGCAAAAGCTGGTAAAATATTATAAGCGCTAATTTAAGTTCGTTTGACACGAAATCCTGCCTCAACTACACAATCGATCGTTATAAGAGTCTGCATACATGTTGTCAAAAAGAACAGGCTACCTCCCATCAATGTCGAGCAATGTTCTTACTTAGGAACCCGCTGTTTTGCGGAACCACTTAAATACAAGTAAAACTGTGTGAAAATACTAATTAATCATAAAATTAATGGTTATTCTTATGTTCCAGATACAACTAACTGTGTACTATGAGAGTCAGTGTCCAGACAGTAAAGACTTCATTGTAAATGAACTGCAGCCAGCTTTAACATTATTACACAATTATCTTATACTGAAATTAATACCATTTGGAAAAGCAAAAGTAAGTTACGGATATCCTTATTTAATAATACATAGTTTATCTATCGTGTGTAAGTAGAGTTTGATCGTGTTTGCACTGACAAAAGTAAATTGAACTTTGGAATAATTCAATACGCATTACATGTTTTGTTTAAAAAATCTACTCTTTCTTTGTAATTTGTCAAGCAAACGCCATCGTATTCGTTACTGCCACTATTAGTGAAAAGTCTTTGTGTACTGAACTAAAAAATAAATATTAGGTCCTTACAAAAAATTAAAATTAAAATTAGCGTTTTTTCATACTGAACACTTTGATTTGAAATATCTCCTTTTTGGTTAAGAATTCTAAATTCAAATTTATAAATTTATTTAGCTGGTACATTGAGTTTTGAAAACAGTAATTCATTTGTTTTTTCCTCATTTTTTTCTTTGGCGTCACTTATTACCGCACAATGGAAAACATGAAATATCGGTATATTTACGAGTACGAGTTATACGGTGGCACCAGTGCTGTAGAAACAGCTCGAAGGTTTAATGATGTGTACGGCACTGGTGTCGCAAAAGAACGCACGGTACCTTTTTGATTTCAAATTCGACCAAAGTGGACAATGAAGAATTAAAGGCTATTGTCGAAGCGAATCCATCACAAAGCCCTTCAGAGATAGCTAAAAGTAAGTGATAAAACTGTATTAATATACTTGAAGCAAATCGGGAAATTAAAAAAACTTGAACGATGGGTACCTCATGAATTGAATGAATCGAACTTGCAAACACGCGTCGACTACTGTGTTACTTTGCTCTACCGACACAATAATGAAGATTATTTTAAATATAATCATTACTTGTGATGAAAAGTGCATATTGTCCGATAATCGGAAGCGATCGTCGCAATGCTTGAACCCTGGAGACCCACCCAAATGCTCTCCTAAACGAAAATTGACCCAGAAAAAGTTACTTGTGAGTGTTTGGTGGACTAGCTTTCTAAAATCTGGCCAAACAATTACGGCAGATATCCATTGTCAGCAACTGCAAACCATAAAGGAAAAACTAGCTGCTAAACAACCGAGATTGGTCAATCACTCTAGGCCACTGCTGCTTCACGACAACGCAAGACCACACACTGCACAACAAACAACCACTAAGTTGGATGAGCTACAATTGGACTGTCTGCGACATCCACCGTACTCCCCGGACCTTGCTCCAACAGATTACCATTTTTTCCGGAATTTTTACAACTTCTTACACGGAAAAAAATTCAGCTCCGATGCGGCAGTCCAAACCGCCTTCAAAGAGTTATTGATTCTCGCTCCCATGGTTTTTTAGTAAAGGGATCAATGAACTACCTATGAGATGGCAAAAGTGCATAGATAACACCGGTGCATTAAAATATATTTTACAAAACAAAAATTGACTTTATATTCCACCTGTACAAAACGCCAATTTCATATGTAAGGACCTAACATATTAAACATAACCTTTACCCAAAATTCAAAACTGCCTTAAATCCTTATGTGAATTATGAATAAAAAACTCACATCCCATACGTAAACCCTAAAGACTTTAGGGTTTACGTACGGATGTGAGTCTTTTCAGTGAGTAATTCCTTAATCATATGATTTGGATGTCTTTAGATTCTTTACTTCATTCCGACACAAGCTTGAACAAAAAAAAAATGGCGGCTATTTGTCGTGTAATTCTTTGTTTGGAAGAGCAGTTATAATCTCAAAAACTGTTAATTTTCTAACCTGATTTCAGAGCATAGATAATACTTACTTCGAATGTCAGCACGGTCCTACAGAATGTACAGGCAATATGGTTCAAAGTTGTGCATTACATGTCATGAAGGAGAGCGGGGCAAACGATCGAAAAATGTTGGACTATGTCGTTTGCGAAATGAAAACAGAAGCCGGCACTACTAGAAATTTATGGGTAAGAAAATATATAATGTGTTTTAGATTGATTAAGGCTATTAGATTATTAGAGTTAGTGACCAATCATGTGTAACATCTGCCATCTCACCTATCTGACGATCAACTCGAGGATCGCACGCGCTCATTGTTCAAATCAAAATTTCACTGACAATTAGGTACACATGACTGTATCGGTGGCGCAGTGGTTGCATATGCGACTGATGTTTTGAGGTCTCGGGTTCGATTCCCGGGTCGGACCAAATGTTTGTAGGCTCTGCATATATTTGTTTGAGTTTGAGTGCTTTTTATGTATAATATTTACATATATTTAAAAAACAAGTATATAAGTATCCTATCAGTCAACCTAGCCTTTATAGTATTAGCTCTGCTTAGTTTGAAACTAGATGGTGTTGTGTGTTAGATGTCCGAAATATTAGTTAAGATATCACTATGTTGGACTAACAATATGTATACTTCTTTTCAGTGTGTGAAAAAAGCACGAGTTAATGAAAATCTGGTGACCTCGTGTCTGTCAAGTCGCATGGGAACTGAACTACTCCTACGGAATGAATACTTAACGAAGTTAGTTTCACCTACATTTATACCGACAATTACAATGGACGGGGTAAGTTATAATTTAATCTACCTTTTATCGTTAGAAATACAATGAAATTGTAACTTTTCAAATTAATTATTATTATTTCACTTTTGTAAAATCAATCTTGTTATCACCACGCTAATCCCTGTAACATCATTATATTTAAATACGAAATTAAATTTCAGAAGTCAAGAGACACGATATAATTTAGGGATACGTATTCACCCTTTTTTTGTCTGTGCGGAAATCCTTTCGGAAACCACCCACCGGTGGTTATGTCGGACATGAATCGATCAAAAACCGCACGCCGTTTCTGGGCCGGGGAACCAGGTGTACCCTAGGAAGGAAATCCCTGGGACCCTGACTTACCCCGGGCCATCTACTATGCTTGTAGATGATCCCTTTCGTGTATGGAAACCACGGTGTCCCCCTTCTACAACCTAAAGGGCGTGCGTGCTCCAATCGCGTCGAGCCGCCTACCCAACCTGCTTCTGCTAGGGTGACAGATGGCCTCACATGTCATCCCCAGGCTCTAAGCATTCACCCTAAATTTGAAACATATTTTCACAGATTGTTCATATTATTCCCCAATCTAACTTTTTAAAATAAATATGTAACATTTGGCAAGTAACTAAATGTTTGATTTTATTAGAAGTCTCAGAAGTTACAATATAAGTCACGTCATATGAGCATGTAATATCCCTATGTAACACGATCACACAAATTTACATATATAACAATAGGTAATCCAGCTTATTTAACGATTCTATGATAATACTAAAACTTTATTGCGATATAAAATATTAATACAATATTCAGGGTCATATTATACAGCGTTATCTAGACTCAAATTACGTATAACTTTTTCAACGGGTACCAGAAAATACTTATACTTAATATATCTTGGATATATTCAACATAGAAACCCTAGACCTAACGGGAATAACATCCATGACCTCTTACAGCTCGTTCCCAATAGTCGTTGTAATGCGACATGCGCATATAGATCGTCATATAATATATTGTACTCGTATGCTTGCTTCCAGATTTTCGACCAGGGAATTCAAGACTCAGGAATACAGGATCTGATAGGGACATTGTGTTCATACCGTGAAGATATGCCACCTTGTGTACAACATTATAACTTAATAGGAACGGAATAATGTTATGAACAAATTGAACCTTTCAACAAAATAACATTTTGCTTTACTTTTCAAACATTGCATATTCATTATTTTTATTATTAATATTTATTACATTTGTTAAAGCGCAGATTATATTGAAAATTGAACTTTTAGAAATGACAAACATAAAAGATGCTAAGAGTTAAGTTATTAAAACTTTGAAGAACTGTAGATATATTTAGAGTAGGTACTGTGGAAGAGTTGTGGAACAAATAACTAATGTTCCACAACCCTTCTTCTTGCCCGTTTCCTAAAATTGAGGTCGTCGCATTGAGTTTTCTTCTTCCATTCTCCTCTATCACTCATCAGTTTCCTGCTTACTCCCATTATAGCCTTATCTACTTTTACGGAGTCCATCCATCTTTTCTTTTGGTCGACCTCTACTCTTACATCCGTCAACGTCCATACATAAAATTTTCTTCACTACATTTTGCTGCTCATCTCTACGAATTACATGTTCATCCAGGATAACTGATCCTCAACTTTTCATCCACTAGCGCTACTTCCAGGTTTCCTCTAATGTATTCATTCATCAAAATAAGCACCTTTCAATTAACTGACTATAATGGAGAGGGTAGAGGTAGAATACCACCACAATTTGACAAGGTTTTAAGTCCCCACAGCAGCATGTCAAATAGTATATACCGGGTGTTAGAAAAGTACCGGAACAGCTACAACAGGTAATTCGCTAGGAATACATTTTGCGATCCTATGTCCTAAGGCCTATGTCCAGCAGTGGACTACTAAAGGCTGTTGATGATGATGATGACCTATTGGTGACCTTGATCATAACCTTGACGGTTCACTCAAGGGTCAAGAGCAATTTCACAAGATAACCGTCAAGGTTGCGATCAAGGTCAATTTCAAGGTAACCAATGCCAGCTATGGCTAGCCAAGAAAAATTCGTATTACTTTTGTTTTAAACGTATTTCCGAATGAAAATGAATACCTAGCGAATTGTTCTGCTGTTCCGGTACTTTTCTGACAACCTGTATACGGCCTAGACTGCCCAATAATAGTATTATAGAGTATTCTGCTTTTATTGAATGGAACTCAACTTAGTATTATTATTTTTTATTTTAAATGTATTGACACGATACATAAAAAATATACGGTCATTGCAAAAGAGACAAAGAAGAAGCACTTGTCTTCCTGACTAGGCAGCTGTAGTTTGTTCTTGATGATGGAAATTTTATTTTATGAAGGAGAATTGTCGACTATCCAACGGTAGTAATTCGCAACGTTAGTGTAGACGCTCGGGATACCTTCGCTGCCGCAATTTTCAGCGCCAAATGACACAATGCCCAGCTGAAAATCCATTTTTTTATTAGGTAACTTACTACACAATTTATTTAGGAATCGTTATATGGGTTCTTTTAAATATAAAACAATGTCCAATATGCTAAAGATTATAGTTTCCTATTACATCCATTCCCACAATGCTCAGTATCCTAAAACCAAGCCCAGTGTCAAAACATTCACTAGGACACTGGACTCTTTCGCCTATAGGTCCTCTAGGACACTAGACACATATTTTATTATGTAGGAGACAGCATATTGGACTATGTAGGAGACTTTACATTGTCAGCCTGAGGGATAATAATCAAAGATCCAATCTCACCTGCACGTGACGACCATCTCTAACCAATAGCAGTGGAGCTCCTCCGAATCCTGAGCAGGCATCTTTGCCTTCTTCACCCCCGGCGCACAGCTGACCTTCGTTCACAGGCACAGATTCTCCAAATATCCGTTCACAGTTCTCAAGCGGTACTAGTGGTACATCCAAATGTTGTTGGCGGCTTACCTAGACCATTAAATAGAATAGCTTGTAAACTAAGTTAAAAAACTAAAAAACACGCTTCTTATAGAAAACCAAACTAAAAAATAGAAAATAAATTTTAATAAATTTGAAAAAAAGCGTTGGGTACATGTTGTCAATAGTAAAAAGCAATTTATTTAAACTATTTTACCACCCACGCTTTTATTTAAACTATTTTTGTTTTTTATATATATTTTTTTAAATTAGTGTATTGGTATCGGTCCTCGATATATCTACAAAGTTTGAACGAATTCTGACCGCTTAAAGTCAGTCAAAATCACGCCCAAAGGAGTCGAAACAAACATACAGGTGAAGCTAATAAAAAGCGTGTAAAAAGAGGAAAGGACTAGAAGATGATGACCTAACATTGTATTAGCTACTTTTTAAACTTACGTGTTCTATGATATATTATATGATTAAAAATGTAATAAAATAGGTATTAATTTTTCAATCGCATAGTTCCCGTTCTTTAGTCATAATTATAAATTAGCATTATTTTTTGGTGGATAATCATTTTAACTATAGAGAGCACATGTAACATCTGGTAGCTTTTTAAAAATTATTTAGCAGCTTCCAACCGAAATCCGTTTCTATAAATAAGGAGTGTAACGAGAAAAAAAAACGTAATTGGATTTATAAACTGCGAATAAACAGTTAATGTTAGGATTTATGCAGGTAGGGATAAAATAAATAACATGTAGTACATCTAACATTAAAATTGAATTGGTCCGAATCATAATTACAGGTTGATTATCTAGTATTTTTAGAAAATCTAAAAGTCATATAAAATGATTAACAATAATTCAACATTCACGGTCAGTCACGAGGCTGGACCAATTATCCCTATGACATGACTTCCACGTGATACGCATCAAACATCACACCGATGCCATCAACTGACCAGATTGCTTTGTCCGGATAACTTCCCCCATCCAACAAGCGTAGCACGTTCGTTGATCACGATTTCCGGCTTATCATTCAGGCAGATCGGACCTGCTGTCACTGGAAATAATAAAAAAAGGATTTGAAATGTTATTAGAACGACAGCACAGCACCATAATTTTGTGAACTGTCAAGGACAGTTCAATGTCAGGTTAATTAGTTGCTGTTATAAAAGTGGCAGATGAAAATGTAAGTGCTTTGTATAAAGTTTGAATGATTATGAAATTATGATTGGTACTTTTTATTGAGCCCTACAGAAACCTTGACAAAGGGTATGACTAGATATAACTTTTTTTTTAAAGACAACTCCCTCATTAGGAATATATCTGTCCTGTGTCACGGGGGAATTTATAAACATATGTACATGAAATGGGCACAAAAAATACCCAGACTCAGAACAACGTCAAACTTTGTGTGTCGATCACACAAAGTGTCGCCCCGTATGGGGATCAGACGCACAACACTCAGCGTAGTAGTGAGCGGCGTGGCGACCGCTTAAACCACTACGCCATCCGTGCAGTCATAAAAGATGTATCATAAATGATGCAGTGTAAATTATATATCAATTAATTTGGCTTCTTTTGTTAAATACAAGATTCAAGAGTATAATCAGCCTCTGTGTCTAGCCTTAGACTCGATCGAAATCTGGTCTGTTCTGTAGTCGCTGCAGCGTTGTCAAGTAGATTGGTGATATATCCAAGTGATGACGAGATGTCTCTACGAAGCCGCCACCATGTTCGTCCAAGTACAAAATCAGCAAAGAAGGCCCATACCGTTGAATCGAGGAGTGAGACAAGGGGACGTTATTTCCCCAAAATTGTTCACAAATTAAATGGAGGACATGGGGTGGCATCAATATTATTAGCGAATACATCTCTCACTTGCGATTTGCAGACGATATCGTCATTATGGCAGAGACGCTGCAGGATCTACAACAGATGCTGAATGACCTAGCTGACTCTTCTATATGCATCAGCCTATGGATGAACTTGAATAAAACCAAGGTCATGTTTAATGAATATATACTATCAGAACCGATTGCAATACACGGTGCCGATCTCGCAGTTGTTCAACAATATGTATACCTCGGGCCGACATTGCAGTTAGGTAGAAACATCTTCGAGGACGAGAAGAATATAGGAATTCAGTTGGGTTGGGCAACAACGTCGAGTCTTCTCATCGTCGCCCCCACAGTGTCTAAAGACACATTGAAGACAGCAGTGCATTCTACTCGTCATGACATACGGAGCCGAAACGTGGACACTTATGGTACGCCTGATCAATAAGCTTAAAATCGCTCAGCGTACTATGGAAAGACCTATGCTCGACGCTTCTCTAAGGCATCGCATCAGGAATGAGATGATCCGGCAGAGAACCAATGTTATCGACAAAGCCCACAGGATTAGCAAGCTAAAGTGGCAGTGGGCTGCCCATATTAGCCACAAAACAGACAATCGTTGAGGTAAACGAGTTATTGGGTGGATACCTCGTCTAGACAACAAAAAAGGCAAAGACCAGGTGGAGTGACGATCTGCGCATGATGGCTAGCATCCATCTCCAAATGTAATAAGCCGAAAATCGATATAAGTGGCGTGCAATGGGAGAGGCCTATGCCCAGGGGACTGCCAACCTACCTAAATCATCCTCACTTACATTTGTTACTCATGCGTTGCCAACTCCCTATCTTTCCAAAGTTCTTGGTACCATAAACCATTCCAATACAATATAAGATGCTTAATAGTATTGATTACCCGTATTCTTACTATAGGTAGCATTCTCAGCCGCGCGCATGCGATCGGAGGATTCTGATTTGTGACTTACCATCTTATGTTAAAAAGATGTGTAAATGCCTAAATGTGATCTAAATATACTAGAAATTTAAAAAAAGCAATTCTATATGTGTCACGTTAAGTGACAAGAATGAGAAACTAAAAAATTAACCAGCACATTTATCAGTCAAGTTATTGGAAGTATTGCGTTGCTTAAGAAATAAAAAAATAACATACTATAATATTTTCGAGAAACAATAAAAACGAATGCAAAAAAAAATTGAGAGATTATTACTTAATAAATAAAACTACAGTATCATAGCAGATCATTTTTTATGCTGAAGATTAATAAAAAAAAGAGTACCTGAAAACTTAATTTCATCCTTAAGCACGATAAGTGCTATATCGTGTCTGAATATCTTCTGTTCATATCCTGGATGTACAATAACGTTCTCCACCTTGATAGCTTGTGTAGGTGGTGCGCAGAAGAAATCGTTACAGTCAGACTTGCGCCCGATATCCCATTCGCCCACCTCTACTGTGGACCTGCAAAAGCGAAACCAGAATCCTTCTCAATTCTGCTTGTTTACACCTATGATGAGTACTCTGATTACTCTCCTGGTAAATATAATTTTGCATTGTTGTAAAATTATTAGCAGAAAAACATTAATAACACTTAACACACGGCAGTCGTAACTCAGCTCGCCAGGAGTGATATAGTAACCGGACTGCTGATAAACATACTTAAATATTTGTTTTCTTTTTACATATTTATTGATAAATTATATCCAAACATAGAAGAAATGTTGCTCATGACACAATTATTTTTCTAAGTTGGGAATGGAAGCCACGACCTCCGTCTTAGAAGTCGGGTCACTAACCATTAAACCAACAGACTGTTATGGCCAAATGAAATTAATGAGTAAAAAATTTAAGCGAATTTATCTCCCTTTATATATATATATAATTTATATAATTTATATCCCTACTTTGTCCGTTACCTTAAGAGCTTTATATATAACGTTGTCTTTTTTTACTAAGACATAAAAGTATGGTCGAAGTAACTAGCTTAAAATGTCCGACTACACGTACTATGTACCGTTATGTATACCAGATCAATAAACTGCTTGTAAAATTTCGTAGGAATAAACTTACAATTTGTATCCCTCTGGTTTAGCGAGAGCGCAGTGAGCGGCAGTCAACACGACGCGTTTGGCTATGATGGAGCCACTGCATGCGTACCTTATGTTACCGGTGTCTTTATCTACAATAGAAACAATAATAGTTAGATGTAAATGTAAAATGTTAGAATATGACATTCGATTAAAGATATACAATTATTTCGATTTTGATTTAAAAAAATATCTACCGTATTTTATACCCAGCTCGTGACAATTTTCTAAGTCAAGTTTAACTAGATAAAAAAATTACCTTTTAATGTTAAAAAAAAGAAAATTTCGATTCGGTTTTTGAAGAAGAATATTTCGAATAAAAATGTGTTAAGTAATGATAGCTATATGTTTTGATATATACTATACTGTTAAGAAGTAATTTGAAATTATCATCTGTTCCTTTGTGCTTATGTTTGGAACATCTAAAAGCCGTGGTGACAAGATTGGCCATCATTATACACCGTTATATCATTATAAAAATGGACTTACGTGTAAATCCAATTCTAGCAACCCAAGGATGTCTTCCTAGACCATTATAGTCGACGCCTCGTACCATACTCTGACCGCAGTGCTCGGTGCCTGCCTGATAGACCCGCCCGCAGTCACACGATGGACAACACACGTAGTCTTCGCCATTCACGTTGTTGCAAATCAACTGATTTAGCCGGTGAAAGTATCTGATAAGAAAGGAGTAACTTTAACAAAGTAAGAAAAGACTATAGACTTCTAAATAAGGCTAGTGACTTTGGAGTCAAAGTAAACTTCACACGTTGGCACCTTTTGAATCTCCCCACCCTCCCCCCTAGAAACAGGGTTAGTGAAGGTTTGGACTCACTGACTTGACAAATAAAAACTAACGAAACGATTGCTTAACACCGGTTTTCTGTGAAGCTATGATTGATATTATGGCTCCGGCGGTTTGTCCGAAAGCATAGCGCTTTCACGGCATATGTTATGGCTAATTACAGATTTAAGATAATATAAAAAAAAGATAACATTTATAAACGTCGATATAATTCGGAAAGTTAAGTCCAGTATTTATCCTTTAGAAATTAACTCTGTAAAATATATTTAAATTTCCGTCACAATCCAATGGTCAAGAATTTTTTAATATATAAAATTTATGTTATTAAACCTTTTTTTCTCAGATTATAAAAATATAAATGATAGTTTCCGTTAGCACTAAAAGCATTTCTCGTTAAAGTGCCTTGTGAACCCCATGCTTAACCAAACAAAATTATTTTATCATTTTTTATGGAAGTGACACCAGATTGTATTGTTTGAATCTCCTCATGGAGTCGTATCTTGGATCAAAAATTAAGCGACATTTACCTCCTCGTTTTATTTACCCTAACTTTTTATTAATCTTATTAGGGTGGCAATTATTTCATATTGCAATTTAGTAGGAATAACTATAGATCGTCAATACAAACTTACTTATCAGAAGAAAAGCAAGCAAAGTCCATTAGATCTTCTAAGAGTGGGCATGAGCTGATAGGAGCACATGTTGTGTGTGGTGGACACGGCGCCTGTAACATTACAGATACTTTTTCAACCAAACGTACTAACCTAAACTAAACTAAACTTACTACATAAAGTTTGAATTTTCAATCAAACCTAACGTAAACGTAAAAACTAGTCTTGATTTCTCTTAGCTCATAGTTTAATTATGAAATTATTGAAATAAAATCAGTGGAATCGAAACAACTCCAGAACTACTACAAGCGCATGGTTGTCTCTGTCATATGCACCTTTGGGGGCATAAAAAAAAATTAAATATTGGAACTTTTAATTTTAAATTAGAAATTAAAAGTAAAAACCCCTTTTTATAAACACGCTTTTATGTAAATGCACTACAAATGATAAAAAAAAATTTGCCTTTAAAACTTTTACCAACAACTTACAACGTCATTACTATTATATTAATTTAAATGATATAAAAGCTTGTAAAAACCGTTACAAGTATAGGAGATATTCAAATTTGAAATATGTGTTGTCAGGCTCAGAACTGTTATGTACGGCCTTTGAGAAGTACATACATTTCACTATACATAATATATATACAATTCAATTAAAATAAGAACGAAGCTACTTTTTATTATTATTATCATGTTTAGTATTAAAACCATGAAATATGGGATTCCTATTGAAACCTTGTTTACGAGTAATTAAAATTAATACATATGCATCGTGTCTATAATTGAACTAAAATATGATATTAGAACATATTAGAAAGACATATTAGTACTTACTCTGACACTTAAATTTTGTTCGTCATCAAGGTCTCCTTTCATGCCTATGCTTAGCGATATCCCTGTAAAACGATTCACAATAACCAAAAAATTCACTAAAATAAATTATTACTATTTTTTTGTTTTATTGCGTAACAGTTTTTAGAAAAAAAAATATGTTACGGGATTCAGCTCCACTTCTTGCCTTCTTTATGCTTTTCTAATTCTTAGGTAATGGAATCACGTTTGGCGAGGTGAATTTTATCGAATAATTTTAAAGTTTAATAAAAACTTTTAGGAGTTTAGGAGTTCGAGCTTGAGCATAATTTATGTCAAACCTTAAAAAAATATTTAATTAAATCATTAATTATTTTTCGCTATTGCTCCGAATAAGTGTTCAGTACAAACGAAAATAGCTCAAATTTAGGATTTGATTATTGCGCCGCCCATTCTTTGGATCAGCAAAAGAAAGAGTGAATAGTTTTTCTTAAGAGACTTTACTATAATCATATTCATTTACATAATCATTCACTAATATCATAAATACATATTTTGAGGGGCCCCTTAAAATAATACCTCGGGAATTGACATACGCCAAGTTAGAAAACTATTAATTTTCCAAATTAAATAGGTGAGTTAGCCATCTGCAGTGTTATAATTGCCGATGATAACATAGGTACTATTAGTCAGACAACAATATAGTGGATCGAGTCAATATTGATTAAGTTTATTTTAATACTTAAAAATTAGACATTTGTCATCATCTTAGTCTGTATAACAATATATTATGTAACATATTGATACGTTATGAAATTAAACAAACAAACACAAATTTAAACAATAAGAGTAGGTAATAGATGAAATCATCTCTATATCGATTGCTTCATACGCAAACAATTTTAAAATGTTACTTTTCTAAGACAGCTAACCCTCCTTAAAAAATATGAAATCAAGTTTGTACTTATACTTGACTTATTATTTATAATCATTAATTTGCCAGCTAATATGGTTATTACTAGATGCGTCATATTATTATAATTGCTAACTTCTTTAGATCTACAAGGAAAGCGTGTGACTGAGATAAAAAAGCCGAGCGTGCTGTTATATGACTTTCATTTGTTTAACAACATTTGGCAGTAGTAATTTGTTGTACGATGGTTATTTGTTACCAAAGAATATTTTTTGAGCCATAACATACATAACGTTTTGTAGTAGGTATTGATTGTGTGTACCCATTTTCTATATTTTATTTGTATTTTTTTGATTTCATATTTTGTCAAACCTAAAGCTTTTGTGGTTCACTTGTTTTGCGTCTGACTGGTAGAAAACTTTTGTTTACAATTTTTAAATATTTTGAACAGATTCAATGAAATTTCATACATTTGCGATATTCCAAAACTAAAATTTTTAATGACATGAGTTCTAAAGGCAAAATCCGATGGCATGACCCTAAGCCCATTGTAATCTGAATCGCAATAGTTATAGAATTTTAGTAATAACAGCCATCGGCCAATGCTGCAGTGAATTGTTTACCTACTGTCATACACGACGACCTTGAGATCTGACGTTATCGCCTATAATTCAACTCTCATTGAAGCTGTAACTATCATATGTAATTATAGGATGCATTATTCGCACGAATTATGTGTCAACGCTTGTGTTTTCATGTATGAAAACAACCAGGGAATGAAATGAAAGAACACACACAAGACGAAAATCCCATTTCGAAAATGACATATGTAACAGTAAGTGAATAAGTATAATAAGTCAATCTTCTTCGTTCGTTAATCTTAAATTATTAGTTTTTCGTCATGTAATATCATTTAAGTTGCAATGAATACAAGTATTTTAAAAACTGTCTGTACATTATCCGTGTTGGTGACGGAAAAGGAGTACAAAGTGTCACCACCCCTATTCATCCAGTGGGTGTCTCAAGAGCCGAATGTCCAGCAGTGGACTAGTAAAGGCTGTTGATGATGATGACGAAATAAAACTAGCTGATGTCATAATATCTACTCTGATTATGAATATAATAAACATTAATCATATGAGAAATTTTAAATACATACATATTACACCCAGACACAGAACAAATGACAGTGCTCAGTGGGTTACTAACCACTAGACTAACAGGCCCGTCCAATATATATCTTTAAATATTAGTTTTACAAATGTCGAGACTGGTCAGTGACATTGATGTTACGTTGTCTGCATTGTGCATTTGTGCTTTATCTTTAATAATATTTATTGAGTCTTCCTTCTTTTTTAATTTTTAACATGACACAAATTCTCACGATTTTCCATAGTTTATTAGCCTTTGTTTGTTGCATCTACAATACGGAACTTTGAGATGAAACGTACATATTTAAGTATGAAAATAATTAAAAATAATATTTGAATGTGATGTGAATAAACATTATCCCGACTTCCTTCCTTATAAAGCGAAATTATAGATAAATCATAAATAAATCATAGATCGTACTGAAAGGACTTAAAAACAAAAATCTACACCCATTCTTCTTTTTTATTACTTATAAGTATTTTACACTACTTGTAGGTAGCTTTTGATAGCTAGGTTTTTATCTTTCGTTTTTAACGTTGTTTGTGTACAGGTCTGTCAAACTAAAATCCATGCAGTTTGCGTTTTTCATGATTTCATTTGTGTATTATGGAAAAACGAGCGGATCTTTTCGGCGATATTGGCTGAATCAATACACAATACTTTGTTGAACTCTAACAAGTTGCAGTTAATTTGTAAAACACTTCTAATTTCATATAAAGGTTCTCATCTGGTCAAACGTCAACGAAAACAATATCCTTCTATAGTACTGTACGGTGTACAAATAACTGCATTGAATAAATAACAAGAGTTAACATAATTGTATCTTACCATATTCATTACGAACCAAATATTCTACTCTATATATGTTGGTGTTATCTTCCTCTCTCCCAAACAAACTGTGCTGCCTGCCAGGGTTCATAATTTTATTGTTATTACTTACATTGTAATCATCTATATATTGAGTATCAATAGAATAGTAATAAAGTATTGGGTATTAACTATGGTAACTAACACTCCCAGAGTAATAAATTACTATAAGCTATTGAATGTTGCTGTAACCAATTTGACATTGCCGTGCATTCTACCGCACGACAAATGTTCATTGCTCGAAGATTCTTAAAACTGGGACAGGTTTCTTCTCTAATTCAATTAATGGCTGAAGGGTAGAGGAGCGAAGAGTTTTCTCCATTAACGATCGGGGTTGTATGTCTGTGAATTGGAGGTTTACGCCTGGCTGTATCCACTGGTTTCATTCGAATCCAGAGAAAGCTTATCGTTGCGCTTTGAGGTAGTAATTTCTGACAGAGATTTTCTTTCTTACAATCAAGAACGGATAGGGTTCTTTTTCGAAGCTTCTTTAGTCTTTTTGCTTTATCAAGACTTCTGGTTATCTCAAAATCAATGATATAGAATAACTCAGTAACGATGTTGACATTGATCCACTGTTTAGGCTCCTTGGCCTAAACCATAAGTCGGATGCAAATTTTAACGATAACTTTGATCTTAACTTAAGTGTTATTGAACTATTAAAAATCATAAAAGATAAACAGTTATTTTTGTAGAGTATCTGATGACCAAATAGAAAACCTTAAAAAAAATATTATAATCAAATAGGTTACATAGTCACATCCGAGGTTACACACAATACGAGTACAAAGGAACATATTTGTATTTACTTACTACCAAAATCAGCATCACTCCATTCAAAAATACACAGAAACCACACACTCAAACACAGTTTACTACTTGTTTTCATTTTTAAATGTAGATTTTACACTGTACCTATTAAAATGTCACAAAATAATAGTATTAGTTTAGTTATGATCAATAGAATATGATGTCAACGTAACTAAAGGAGGGAACAACTAACATCGTCGGTGGATTCACAACAAAAATGATACGCTACAAAGCCTTCATTTCCATCAGCAAGTTTCAGAGGTGATCAATCTGCGGTCCTGTTTTGTTCGACATAATATACATTGGTTTACTGCTGCAGTTTCTCTTTTACTCACAACAAGTAAATTTTTCATGTTCTCTATATAATCTTATTTTCCCTTCTTGTTATTAAATCAGTATCACGGTTTTTTTTATTAGATGAACTTTCTTATTATGATAACGATTTATTTTTCTACCACTAAATTATCTGTCAAATTTAAAATAATCGGTCAGGTATGTAAAAGACCATTGAGACCTTGCAGGAAGACGAAGAGGAGTGTGCCGGAGAAAGAGTAAAATTAATTTTCGAGAAACGAAGTCGCCTACGGGCGTTATTAATAACTTAGTTCCTAATAATTTATTTAAACTGCATGACTGTGATCATACGTAGAAAGATGGCTCACAGTAGTAGATTTGGTAACATATTTTAATTAAAATTGTTATAATTTTAATATTACAATTTATTTCTGAACTATTTCCATGTCAACCTAATTTAAAAAAAAGCAATTGTTTTGGATTGAACATTCATAATTTTTATTTTACAAAATTATCCAACAGTTGTTGATCAATGTGTACTATGAATCATCCCGAGGATTCACAACTACACACGATTACTCGTCTATATACTGTGGTAAAAATATATTTATTTGCTAATAGGTACTTAATTTTTTTTACTACTAGGTGTTCTCGGCGTCACTCGAATTTAAAATGATTAAGTGACTGATACAAATCTACTCTGATAATTATCTAACCAATAACTAACCTTCCACAATAAACGATAATATAATAATATGTGCATTACGCTACAAGGTGCATTTTTTTAAATTCTGAGATAAGGATGTTTAAACAAAACAGAAAACGATACATTTCACAGATATCTTTTATAAAAACTTTCTTGAAAATATGTGTTAAACGTTGTTGCTTTGCGAATTTTATTAGAAATTTTCACAAGAAATTTATAAACGATTTTATCGAGTCCATTTATTACTTAAGTCAATAAAATTTATAAATTTGGATTAAAATCTTCTTAATAATACACTATACACTTTAAAAATATATCAATAACTATTGAAATTGAAAAATTGAATTGATTCAACTGTAATAAAAGTTGCCGTGGTATCTTCACCAAAACAGTTTTTATTCCTTTATTGTAAGTTTTTGTGTTGCCTGATGTCATTCACATCACTGGGTTACCGCGGACACTGGACTTTAACAATACCTGTTTTTATTATGTTGCGGACGCCTAGTTTAACATATAATAGGAGATAAAAATTAATGTTGTACACAAAATTATACTTTTGTAGCCATGTGAAATATGAAATAGAAAGTATGATCTTACTTTCTTTATTTAATTCAAGTTTTTCAAACTGAAATACTAAAACGTTTTAGTTTGATATTTTAAACTCCTAAAAACATGTTATTTTGTAAAAATCTTATTGTATACTCTAATAAACTAAGAAGTTGTTATTCCTTTCTGAAATTCTCTTTTTACTTGACTTGATGAGCATCTGTCAACACTTCAGCTTGGGCAGGAATAACACTCGATTAAAATATGGAACTCAAGAACGTTATTTAGTACTTGTATCCACTGTTAGGACCGCCCTAACATGCAGGTGCTTCAGAGGTCGAAGCCCGCTCGTTCTCACCATAACTACCACATTGTTTAGACAACACGAAAAAAATGACTTCCTAATCAGATAATGAAACAATTTCATACCACGCACGAATTTTAGGAATAAAATCACCATTGTTATCTGGCCTTAAATTAGTAACATGAGCCTATTTAGCATATTATTCAGTTTGCTCGTCCATTGTTTTACAAGGTGCACGATATTTATGAGTTGCCACTTTATAGTGTTTTTTACATGTATGGCGACTAGATGTTCGTATCAAGCAACTCGCTATAAAAAGTGGAATTCTCATAGAATGATTAAGAACTGAGATGAACTGGTAAGTCTAGGTGAGACATTGGCTAGAAACTCGTTGCCTCGATTACCTAAGAATTTACAGAATTTGCAATGAAATTGATTAATCGCATACGCCAGCATTTATATTTAAGCTCCGTATGATACATAGGTAGAAAAAAGAAAAACCAAAAACTGTAAAGAAAAAAATTGTAGAACAGTGTCTTTTTTAAATCAGTGTCAGTGTCAACTTTTACAAACATGGCATGAACTATTTTCTGTAATACTTTCTCGTTTTTCTATCAATTCATAATGTCGTATACCTAAATTCTAATTTGATCTAGTGTTTCAGCATTCGATAAGTAGAATATTTTTCAAATGATTTGTAAGATTAATAATCTCGCTTAGTTGCTCCAAAGCAAAATGACAGACACACGTGACTGCCACCATCATCGTCACACCAAAGTATATTCAACAGAGAAAATGAAACTGACAAGCAGTGCTTCTGAACAAAATGTTTTTTTTACCTACGTGTGTCTTGTCGACGATCTCCGACCCACAGAAGCTTTATCTCGAGACAGTCAACAGCATAAACTATTGAACAATCAGAGTAATGAGGTATTTACTATTATTAATCTATTCACACATAAATAGATAAAATAACGTAATACGATAAAATACACGATTCGACAACATTTTAGGTTCTTCAACAAGAAGAACCAGCCATCCAAGTAGAAAGAACTAAGGCGGTCCATGAACTTGTTGAAACATTGAAAACTAATTCACCAAATGAACCTGAAAATCATGAGACGGATTCATGCTCACCTGACGTTAGCCAGTTTTTTTTCATTATGTAATTAAATCTGATGCAGATGTCATTACCTGTGTTAACAATATCAATTTTGTATTAGCCACCAACTGCTTTTCAAGAAGTCAGCGATTCTGACAATGAGGATTGTAATTTTATCAGCTGCGATAACCCGAATGTACTGAAGTTAACTAAAATGAAGTGGTTAACCGAAGATCACGAGAATGGACCTGATTCCAGGTTCGTATTTTAGAATATACATTTTTGATTCAAACACGAAATACACAAAAGTGATTTCGTTCCAGAAGAAGGAACGCACTCACAGGTGCAAGAATAAAAGACAAGAGAAGAGGAAACTATAAAACGGGGCGATAATATATTAGGTGATTTCATTGAAATTGGAAATATGTTTAAAACTGTTGCAATACCAACTAACCAATATTATTGTATTGTCAAAAGTGATTTTGATTTACAGTTCTCCATCTTTATCGCCTGCTACTTCGAGCACAAGTTCGTGTAGTAAGAATTCCGACTGCGCTGTCAATAAACGCGACAACTATGATGACAAATATCTTTCTACCATTTTACGTTTGGACAAAGAACATAATATGTTTGGTCTCTCTAGTATTGCCATTATTGGATCTAGACCATCTAAACAAAAGCGTGCCAATAAAGAAGACGAAAAAGCTGTATTCCATCAAACTGCAATAGTTCAAATATGTTGCGAAAAACGGTGTTGCAACCACATGGTAAGATATTCAAAGTAAATTGATGTTTTAACATGTAACGAATTACAATTGGTTTATATTTTGTTTCAGAGCAAAACTGATTTACCGCCGTCTTTGAAGGTAATATTTAGAATTGAAGTGATTACTATAATTACTGGTTTAGGTTATTGAATATTGACTATTTAAACTATTTATTTGGTTTCAGTGCGGCTCATGTAGAAGTTGTTGCTTTGATATAAACTGTGCATATTGTGCACGTTCAGCCATGTGTGCTCTCACTGTTTGCGTGAGTTATTGTACTATTCCTTAACTTAACACACTTTCTGTTGTTTTCATTCATCTTTTTTTTCATGTAGAATTCATTTCAGTGTCATCGGACTACGAACTTGCCAAGAGTACTTGCGCTTGGCAAGTTCGTAGCAGGAGGACCTTACATGTCTATACTAATCTGATCAGTAAAGCGTGAAGTAATGTAAAATAGTTTTGTGTAAAATAAAGCTCAGTCAGTTCGAGCGTCTTCTTCACACATCGGCAGCTGGCTGTCGGGTGCATGGGAGATCGGCCCTCGCCGGCGCGTCTGGCACACCAGTTTAAATTTTTAATGTTGTTCCGAAATTAATGTTTTTCTTATGTTAGCCACTATATACCAGTTGTTATACAGTCCACTGCATATTATTTACGGCTGACCTATCAACAAACATCATTTCATTTCATTGTATTTTGTCGTAATTTGCTAAAAACTATATTGGTTATAGCTAATCTGATGGATCATTAATCAGGAATGTTTATTTCCAGGAACCGGAACCCCTGCCATGCCCATCAATCGTAACTATATTCATAAAATTTAAAATAAAATATTTGTTTACAATTTTTTGGTGTGTGTTACATCATTAAAAAAATCTAAAGAATACAATTTTATTTTTCAGTGCTCAACTTGTCCAGGACCAATCGGCTCCTGTGTATGTGGGGTAAGTATTTTTACAAACGAAAACAACCATTGAACTTAAACATATCTATTTAATTCTAGAAGGAGTACTTATGTAGTTAACTAACTTTATATACTAGAGTCCTGAATAATGTCTTATTGTCCTCTGAAACCTAATGGAGTCTACTTTGTCGTAATACAGCCAGAACTCGTGTATAACGATATTATACCTATAATTTGAAACGTCATTTATGTGATTTTTAGAGTTATAACAAACATGACATAAATTTCAAACTTTAAAGTAATTTATATGTATTTAGTTATAGTAATATTATAAGCTGATGCTATTATAATTATTATTTGTTTGTTTAGAGCCTTCCTTTGCCACCTGCAGGCGGCTGCAGGGTGGATTGCACTAATTACTTCGGTTTAAAGGTTAACTTTCTTAATATTATTGTTATTATTAATAATTGACTTGAATATAATTGACTGGCCTGTTGGTCCAGTACTCCAGTGGCTAGCGATCCTAACTGCTAACTCTGAGGTCGTGGGTTCGATTCCCACCCAGGACAAATATTTTGTGATAAGCACGATTGTTTTTTTCTGTTTGGGTGTAATTCGTTTATAACATGTATGTATAGAGCAATAGACTTGTACCTATAACGTAAGTGGGACTAAGTGAGTACGTGGGTAAGTTGTAATCGATGCAATCTGGGCAAATAGGCGACTGTCTAACCCTTCGGGTATAAAGGTCGTGAGTTATGAAAGGTGTTGTGAATATAAAAATGTCATTATAGGTAAAGTTGAACCGCAAACCACATTACGAACCTGCACCGGCCGAGTTGACTCCACGTTCTAGCTGTATTCTAGCCAAAGTTAGTACTAACTTTTAATACGTAATTACTTTTTAATAAACAATTTAGTGATTTTTTCCCCCCAAAATTACAGATACAAGTAGCAAATAGATAAAGTTATGATAGTTACAACTAGAATTAGAACATAGACAATATATATATAGATATAAATCTGTAAACTTATTATAATAAACCCTGTCTCTTAAACTAGGGTCACATGTATCATACATAAGAGACAGTGTTCGGCTGTTGTTCTAGATATTCTAGAAGTTGCTTTACACAACAAATTCATAATATTGTGTCGATCAGCAATTGACAATTACATATATGTAGGTTTGATGTGTGTTTTAGTGTAAATATTATATAATTTAAATTTGTTGTATAATTATAAGGTAGTTTTAAATACAGTGCATCAAATCGACCCTATTACTATTATAGCACGAGTATTCCTTTTACTCTGAACGTATATTCCTTCATTTTCTGTATTATGGTTTAATGGTGGTTACTTTTTAAAACCTACACAATACATCAAGTGAAAAGTTGTAACATTTATAAGTAATAATTGATTGACTAGTGGTTAGTGATTCTGAGGTGGTAGGTTCGATTTCCACCCAAGACAAATATTGTGTGATGAGCACGATCATTACTTCTCCGTCTGGATGTAATTTATCTACGTATGTATTTAAAAATATTTAGCCAAGGCTCTTACTCCGACTTCCTCGATCACTGGGATGTGATTTATGTCAAAATATTTTGATAAAAAAATAATAATACTCCAACAGCCAGCAGCAGCAAGACCCTGTAGCCATACACCCCACTGCCAACCGCCGTCGTCTTGTTTCCCCTACCTGATGCCATGCTACTGGCCTGCTCGTCCATCAGCTCCGTGCACTCACCCAAATCGATGTTTCCATAATCCACCGTGTCGTGCACCAAGGATACGGCAAAGAGTGCCTTTGCCATCTGTATACAAATGTCCAAAGGTTAGTTTATTACCATGAATTAATAAGTTATACAGGAGAAGCAATGAAAATAGATTACAATGACTTGGTGTTGAATACTTTGTAAGAGTGCTTACCGACCCTATTCTGGGGAATAGGGTAACAAACAAACACACATTGGGGTCTAAGGATGGGTCCTTAGACCCCAATGTGTGTTTGTTTGTTAGACTTTTACGCCTTAACTACTCAACCAATTGTCATGACATTTTGCACGCATACTATTAAACTAATGCGTTTCATGATATGTAATTTGGTAATACTTAAAGCGATCATGTAATAGATTAATATCTATTACATGATCGCTTTGAAGGTACGTAATCGTACCTTCTAATTTTCGCCGATTCCCACATGGAACAACAGTTTGTGTCATCCACAAATTGTTGTTTGGGGTCTGGGCTGTCCTGTGTTCGTTTTATGTATGTTTATAAAGTCCCCGCGATACATTATATATTCGTAGTGCGGGAGTTGTCTATTAAAATAATAATTTATAATAACCAAATTGACCAAGTCGCATGGCCACAGGCTAAAGGACTAGCCAGTTACCATCGTAACTAACTTACGTAATTGTGCTACTTCCCGTATAAAATTATAATATTGCATGCAAGTTGTCAGGGGTGGTTATAGATAAGTATAACATAGGTTCATCCAGAAAAGGAAATCTTTTTTCTAAAAATAGCTTTAACGCTATTACGGTCAAAGGCTAGTTTTTAATGTATTTAAAAATCAATATCGGCTTATATGGTCATAATAATTTATGATTATGTGTACCACTAAGGTGCCGAGTAAGTAGCTCACTGCACGGATGGCGTAGTGCTTTAAGCGGTCGCCACACCGCTTCCTACTACGCCGAGTTTTGTGGGTTCCAACCCCACATGGGACGACACTTTGTGTGATCCACAAATTGTTGTTCTGAGTCTGGGTGTTCTTTGTGTCCATTTCATGTATGTTTGTAAAGTCCCCCGCGACACAGGATATATTCCTAATGCGTGGTCTTTTAAATAAAGAAAAGAAAAGCTCAAGGAAAGGAAGAAGTTTATTATTATGTATCGTTTCTTGTAGATTTAGATGTCATTAGAATTTAAAATTATCTAATTTTAAAAATATAGGTACTTTCAAAATTAATTTAATGTTATGTTTTTAACATTCATTTCAGAAATGTGAAGATAAAGAGAAAAACACTAAATGTGAAAATGAAGTGTGTCCTGGGGTAAGTCTCGTAACTCAGTATTGTAACGTTCAATAAAAACATTTGAAAATGAACGGATATAATTATCAAATGAAATAAAGGAAGACATTTTACCAAAGAAGTAAAATTTATATTCTATATTCTAATAATGTTTTTTACAGAGAAAAGCTAGTTTTATTTCTATCAAAACTAAGTTTAAATAGCGACACGATAGGCAATTATAAATAAACTGAAATGATTAGGTATACTAATCACAATGACTAATTAAAAATGTATAACCAGGTACAATTCACAGCTCTGATATAAATGTCTACTAATGTGCTTTATTTCTTATAGAATATTCCCGCTATGAAGCAAGAAATTGAATCTAGGTTTGGCAAAGCAACGGTATAATGTATTCACCCCCCCGTAACTGCTTTTGCTGTCACGATGTAAGTTTCTGTAACAGATATTTTCTTTAAATATAACATTTGAAATTTGCAAATTACCAAAGTTCAACTTCTTTATTTCCAGCAGGAGCATTTAACTTGCTGTACAATTCCAAAACCCAAAAAGAAAAAAGTAAGTTTTTATAGATCTTTTACACGTACCGGCCTGATACTTCCATCGATGGCAAAACAATTACTACGACCTTTTCAAAATGAAAATAGGCACTCCCTTAAAATAATACATTTCAACAATACTAAGTAATGAACGTTGCCAAAATCTAATATGTCATGTCTAAATAATAAACTAATTGTAACCTAATCCCAAGGGGTAGTTGACTGAATGAAAAAGAAATAGAAGTACAAATGTATATCATTTTTGTATTCTTATTTTGATATGTACTGCATTATATGCTGCAAAATAGTCAGAAAGATCTTAATTTTTCAGATTGTCAGTATTGCATGATATTTTCTTTCTAATTAATGATATCTAGGTTAAAGTAACTATCTTTGGACCATAAAAGGTGAAGGGTTAAAAATAAAAAATAAACTATCAAACTCAACAGGGAATTTAAAGCATAGCAGCTATCACTTAATAGAGATTTCATCAAAAAAAAATCTTTCAGAGACGCAGACATAAGTGCGAATGCTTCAGACCTACGTGTGCCAGTTGCTTCGTCACCAGACCCTTGGTAATAACATTGAAATATGGCCGAACTAAAAATAACGCCTGCATTGCAAACCTTTAAGAACCAATAACATTATATACGTGATGTGCAATGCTAGGCTGAAGGGAGAGTGGAATGTGTATTGGTCAACTCGTTTGAATTAGTACTCTAATGACACGACATTTCAGCATATTTATAAAGGCATTTTAACCGACTTCAAAAACACAAAAGAGGAGGTTATCGATTCGACTGTATTTTTTAAATTATGAGAGTACTATCTTTTACAGGCGGCTCCGCCCGCGTGTATGTCAGTTATCACGGTAAAAAATAGGCTCAAGAATCAAACTATCTATATACCAAATTTCATTCAAATCAGTTTAGCGTTTATTGATTCCCCATACAAACTTCCACCCCACTTTCCACCCCCTTAAAGATGATTTCTGGGATAAAAACTATCCTTTGTCCATCCCCAGGGCACAAACTATCTCTACACCAAATTACATCCAAATTGGACAGACAGACAAACAGATAGACGGACAGAGACACTCGTATTTATAATATTAATATGAATTATCAACCTCGCTAATATCAACTAAGGTTTTTATGGTAGAAAGGGTCACCTGATGGTAAGTGACTACCGCCGCTGATATATACCTGCAACCCAAGAGACACTATTAACGTTGAACTTTTGAGTGTAAGAACTAAGGGAGGGAGTTGGGCCTCTGGGAAACTCATTCTCTCGGTGAAAAACAACGAAAAATTGCTCAAGACCGGCTTTCTGTAAGGTCGTGAATCACTCCGGTATGTGTATGTAGTATGACCCTAAATAAGTTAAATTACAAAAAAAAAATCCAGCCAATCAAATCAAAATTATTATGAGATTTTTAGTTGGAGGTTCGACTTTCTTTTTACACCATGGTCCCTTATGATACAATATACTTGATATGAGTTACTCCCTCATACAATTAGTGACATAATATGATTTTTATTTTAGCCGAGACCAAAAGGATTACCAGTTTTAAACTTACTCTGCAATCAATCGGAAGTTAATACAGTAATAGAGCCCAGTTGTTCGAAATGTACTCAAGGTATTATAAATTAATTTCCGATTTTTTTTAATGATTTATATTGATATCTCGTTGAATCTATCGTGACTTTGTTTATTATTAGTTTATAGGTTAATGGCCTTTAACCGCTGTTCCTGTGGAGCAGTATACTATTACCCAATGTGAGCAAGTGGCCATCATTAAGTTGGAGAAAACCAGTAAGGGACTACGAATTGATCGAAACCAAACAGTTTACTTCGGGTAGAGTATAATATACAGCAGTTCCATCGTCATTCCGAAGAAGATAACCAATTGAATTTATAAGTTAAGAAGCATTTCTACGGACAATGTAAGGAAATAGTAATATATATCACAATTTACTAAGTTACTTAAAATTAAAGAAATAAATGAACTACAATCATCAAACAATTTTATTTTAAAAGTCTCGAGAAACTATAAATCTTTCCTTGCAATGCGGATGCGGTATCTTTTCGGGAGCTATTTGGTCAATAACAATGGACGGAGATGTTCCTCTAGCAACATGACAATAGTCACTGCAATACATGAAAGGAGCAATATTGGTCTGGAAGGGATTCGGTGCGAAAGGCGCTAAATGGAACGCTTCTCCATGAGTCCAAGAGGCCAGCTCTGAGCTAGCAAACGGTATCTTGTACTTTTTGTGTGTTTCAGATTCAAAGACCCTGAAAATTGAATATACATTAAAAATTTAATTTTTATTTCTAGTACGTGTTATGTACAGCTACCCATTACGCTTTAGGTATTTTACTTATACGGTGTTAGTCGAGTTATTGCTGACTGTAATATTTTTTGTCCCTCGTCGTCAAACAATAACCAAACCATTAATAAATAAAAATGACCAAAAGTTTGACAATCAGGAAACACTCGGTCGGTGCAGATCATTTCAAGTCTTATGATATAGTGTACTGCTCGTAAATGGTTACTTAGGTCGCAATCATTCAATATTCATTAAAAACCTTAAAATAAAAATGGCTGGGCAAACAGACATGGTCAACACTAACCCTTTGATATTATTGACAGGATTATGACAAGCAGCAACTTCTTTAAATTCTTTCTTTACATGGATCCGGTCGTATACTCCTCTATGTACCTTGCTTGTCATAGGCATCCATATTTCTTTGTGTCTTGGTCCGAACCCTTTGACCTTTATTTAAATACATAGTGTTATAAAGCAGGTACTTAGAGCCACACATTTTAAGTGCAAAATAAATAAGGTGTCTAACTGCCAAGTCTATTTTTTAAAGTTAAGTAGTGATTTGTGACGTCATATCTTGCTACTATCAAATCCTTTTGTAGGCGTGGTTATTCAAAAGTGATAACAAAAGTTTAAATTGAAAACATTTTTTCAAAGTTTTGTATACAGTTTATTTCACGCCAATTGTGCAAATTGTTTATTTTCTACAAAAGGGAACTATTCAACAGAACAGTTGCCACACAAAGCAGTGCTTAAAAGTTTTAAACAACTGAAAAAGTGGAGAAGCTAAAAACAAGTTCTAGTTAACATGTATTTACATAAATCACAGTGACACGCTACCTTCGACCATGTACTTTTTACCTAACATTAATTTAAAAAAAGCTTACCTTTGGTGTATTATTGTCAGAGTACAATGTGATGTGGTCTTTAGCAGCAACGCCATACTGTTCATCAGGTGTAAAAGGCTTGTGATAAGTTCTATACGTCGACAAATATGGATCCAGTTGTTTTCTGAATCCTGTAGAATTGTCGTAAATAGCTGGTGCTTCGTTTCTCCCGGACGCTATGACCTGTAATAATAATATAGAATAATAATATATTCGGACATCTCAGACAGACTTCAAACTAAGCAGATCTTGTACTATGAAAGCTAGAGTGACTGATATAAACTTTTTTGCGTAAATACATACATATCATATGTATATAAACAAATATTTGCAGATCAGAAAAAAATTTAGTCCGATCCGGGAATCGAACCGAATTATACAATATTTAGATGATTAAATGTGGTAAAAACGACTACTAAATAATGTCCCAAATTTACGATAGTGTGTTCTTAGAGCTCTATAACAAAAAAGTGTTAAATAACAGAAGTTCAACTTATATTTTACACTTCTTTGTTAAGCACAAATGAAGTAAAAAAATAGTATAGCTAGGAAAATCCAATTTCTTCTGACTAGTTTAGGATTCAACTTATACTTAATTTTACAAATTTGATCTGTAAAAAATCTTCGGAAAGACATTGTACTGTAGTGTACCAACTGTTGTTTTTAATTAGTAAATACGGTTTTGCAATTGCCGGCATTTTCTTTGAACGTCTAGGTAAAATAGACATAACATTTCCAAGTATCTCTACTGATGATAACCGAATAAATGAAAAAATCCAACCATCCCTACCAGTAGGCGTAGTTGGAACAGGCGCTTTGTTGTATTTTTTTGTAAGTTACGCGATACCGTAGATGAATATAAACGCTTAAAAGTTTAAACGACATGTCACTCGTTGTCAAAAGTTATCTATCTGCATACAAATGAACTTACATCAAAGATGTATTCCGGGTCCGGTGGCCTCACTATGATGTCAGGAGGAGCTTGAGGAGATTTTGCCAGGCCCCTAAATTTGTCCTTCATTTCTGACATAATTGTGGGTTGTGTAATACTTTTCTTTTGTAACTGAAAAATACATGGTACAGTTTTCAAATATAAATACAACTTATTATTCAAATTTAATTCAAATCCATAGTAACATAACTATACCTTGTTTACTTTAGAAAATAGTAAAACGTGCAGAGGGCCATGTCTTATTAATACTTAAGCTTCTCAATTGTTGTTGTTATGCCATGTTGTTTTTTGGAAAATTAATCAACGGTCAAGCGTAAAATATCGGGAAAAAAAATTAATGAGCCAACCTACATAATAGTATTCTAGACATTCGGCATTTCTTCGTAATAATACAGCAAACCTAGTTGTGTCTAGGATATTTAATACTTAACTGTTTAATGAAGGTATTCCTGCGTATATTGCGTGCGATTAACATATCATTATTGACACATCCTTTTATTTTACATCTAGCTTAAAAAACTGTAATCTAGATAATTTTTTAAGTAACCATAGAATGGGTCCTATACAAAACATGATTACTTACTGCTTTATCAACTCCAGTCATGAATATAACTCTTCGGCAATTGATCGAACAATCAGCTCTTTCCATGGCTTTGTTGGGGTTTGGCTTAACACAATACTCTCCCGTGGTAGTTCTGTATGACTCTTTTTCAACTACCATATCTCGGCCCGTGAGTCTCTCTGGTAGAGGATCATCAATTTTCTTAAAAAATAACGTTAGACATATTAAAAAAACAAAAATGTACCAAACTGCAAAATTTATGTCAAGAAGTTGAGCATATTAAATATATATAAAAATTCATAAATAAAAATCAATGTTTGACTGTACGTATTTTGTGTACTGCCCTACAGTTTATCAGACCATCATGAAAAGGTCCTTTAGAGGGTACCTTCATTTTTAAAGACTGTTTAACTAAAAGATATTTCATAAGTTCATTAGCAGGGTTTCTTTGAAGGTTACAGATACGAGACAGAGCACTAGTGTGGCTCGATTGTGATGGGGCAACTGGTTTGTGTTAGGTAGGTATACTCGTATGTGATACAATCCTAATGTTATACTTATAGTTAAACTTTAGGTCATTTGTGTGCGTAAGCACTCGGTTTAGGTTTATATGTATCTGTATGTTAATACAGACCTAAGCCTAAAACCGATTTATATATACTTTTGTAAACGTTCTAATAACAGAAAATGAGTAGCGTACTTTAAAAAGTATTAAAAGTAATTTGAATATACAAATATAAACTGGTCGTAAAAACTTACACAGTCCAAGCTTTGTGATATGTCGGGGATATGTCGCAGCGCAATACTTGAAGCAGTCCTGGTCTCATTGTTGGACAGCCTTAGAGGAATGTTATATTGCACATTACCCCAAGTGTTCATATTTTGTATTAACAATTCGTCCAATATCAAAGGTTTGCATGGTTTTATGGCTGGTGGTGGTTCCGTCATGATTATTAAATAAATATATATTATATATAACAAACAAAAATATTAAAATTAAAAATTGAAATAAGTATATGATAAATGATAACGACACAAAGTTGACATACAATGTAGTGACGTTTTCTTTACGCAACAGAAACTTGATTTTAGACTAACATTACGTATTACAAACTTACTAAGGAGAATGTATATATGTACGTTGAGTATATTTCAACGTACAGAAATGACAAAAAAAAAAGATAAAAACTATCTTTGAAGCGTGTTGTATATCGTATCGAAATTTGAGCTCAATCAATTTTTAACTTTTGACTTTTTGAAGCATACACAAACCGACTTCATATTTTTTATATACTCGCATTAATTTTTATTCATCTTTTTCATTTGTTTATTTTTACCTTCTATTTATTTGAGACTCCTATGTCTCAGGCATTTATAGGTGGCGATAGTCTCCTTCTATCAGATGACCCATCTGCTCGTTCACCCCCTATGTCATAAAACAAGACTGGACTGCCAGAATTTAGGCAGAAACGACAAAGTAGGTGAATAGTTTGGCAAAATGATTTTATTTTGAATAACTTCTGGGTAAGGACTATCCATTAATATTAAAAGTTTAATATAAAAACTAGAACTGGTATTATTTGCTATTCTATGGTGTGTTGGATTTTGAGGCGAAAGTGCTTGCCGAAGAATATCGGCGGACGGCTGATTTCCGGGCGGGTAGTGGCAGTCGGCCCCCGCCCGAAGAGGTACGCGAGTAGCTTGAGGCCGCTCGCCGAGACACGATAGCTCGTTGGTCGTCCCGGCTGGAGGCACTCCAGCCGGTCATCGTCGAGTAGGCAGGGCGGCAGCACGGGACCGTTTCCTTCCGACTGACGCAGGTCCTTTCATGGCACGGCTGCTTCGGGAAGTGCCTGAACTCGGTCGCTAGGAGGGAATCGAGTCTCGCCTGTCACCACCGCGATTGCAGTGAGGACTTGGCTCAGCACAAGCTGGCAAATTGCCCGGCTTAGGCGCCGTAGCGCCGGGTCCTCATTGCAGTCACCAAGCTGTTATCCGCTAAATGGCCGGGCGGGAGGACAACCTCTACTCGGACCCAGTTCGGAACTCGGGCGGCAGAGGCGTGCTTACCACAGCCTCATGCCGCCCTGAGTGTGGCGGCGGGTGGATGGGACGGGTTTTCATCTCCACCCGCCACAACAGCCACCCGCGAGGCGGCGACGTCTGCGTGTGCCGGACGTCGCCTAAATTGAGAATGAACGCGAAGGTGGTGCCCATTGCGCGCAGGCGTTAGGAGGGGCCCGGATGTCTTAATAACAACAGTGCCTGCATCCCTCCTATTGCAGGCGCAGAGTGGCACACCGTGTGGTTTTAGTCGGTCCGATTCCGACACACCACCCCACCGCAAACCCCGGTGGGGTGACGGTCCATATGTAGAAAAACAAAGAAAAAAGACCGCCTGTCAGTATGTCGTATCGGCACAACTACAAACTACCCCACTTAAAATTTTATTGAGTTAAATTATAAAGAAAGAAGTAAATAATTTGATTGAGTTAAATTAGATTCTAATTGATTATAATTGAAGTTTTGATAATTAGTGTTAATAAATAACCTGAAGAGTCATATTATCTAAAACACCAAGAAAATACAACACTTAACCTAAGATCTTGTAAACACGTGCACGAGCTATGCGTCCTATATGAACAAGCTGTATTGCGCGTACTTGGTAGTGATACGCAAAATGTATCACTGAGCTGAAAAGATAAATACATTTCATTTCGCTCTAAAGATAAATATCCCTCATTTCGCTCACTAGCTCATTTAGCTCGGTGATACAAATTCAACTCATTGATTTCTCAATTGATTCCTTTCTTCTTCTAGGTCGTTAAGTAAATATCATTCACTTTAAATCTCTCTTGCTTACACAAACCTTTGCTTAATTCTTATATTAGCCTAAGTTCTAGGAAGTTCCCTTTTTTTCAGTTTCATTAGTTTGTACATGAGACATCATACATATTAAATTGATTTTCCTTCATACTTGGCAGGCTTAGGACTCAACCTAGAATACGAGTGACTTATTTAATAATCAATTTCTATGAACAATAGGTAGGTGCTCGTTCGGGGTCTAACGATTACGACAGTGCCACTTTACTCTTTAGGCAATCTAAAGCTTTCTCAATTTTTCGTGAAACCTGTATCCTTCATTTTTGAAACGCGGATCAAATATAGTTGCCTCGCAGTATATAGCGTTATTCTCAATAGTCCCAAAACGTTTATTGAACTGTAAATCCAATCTTTGTAGGATAGTGCTTATTACTTGTAAAGTTGTGTGGTTTAACTTTCGATAATATGACTAATTTGTCAGCACTGATTTCGTTGATCATCTCTGCAAACAATGAACATATTGGAACAATTTCTTCTATGATTTTCCAGTCATTATCGTTGAGGCACAAATCGCTTCTTAACAAAGCTACTGTCGCAATTATGGCTGATTTGCATTATACGAAGTGTGGCAGCATATCGTAAGTGGAATTAAACCGACTGGCGACCTCTTGCTTAAGTTTCAGGTTTTGGCAGGTTCATCGATGCTTGAAGCTTATTTAGTTCTTGCTGAGCGTGTGAACTACGCTTGAAATATTCCACAATCGTTTTAATTTTTGTTGTTGTCTCCGAGACATGTATTAATGCGTCCTTAACTAATAAATTTATGCTGTGGACAAAGCAAGCGATTAGACGCCAGTTTCCTTCTTTTATTGCACTGGTTATATTTATATCGCTTGCAATCGCAGTAATTTTGTTGTTTATTTTCCACTGCTGTTTGGAATTTCTATGAAATTGCATAAATTTGTACTGGTGTGGCGTTCCGTGTATTCTATGCATGTGATTAAAACCGAATCTAATTTAGTTTGTTTTTTTTTTTTAAAGGACAACTCCCGCACTAGGAATAAATCCTGTGTCGCGGAGGGGAGGGGCTTTACAAACATACATGAAACGGACACAAAGAACACCCAGACTCAGAACAACAATTTATGAATCACACAAAGTGTCATCCCATGTGGGGATCGGACCCACAACACTCAGCGTAGGAGTGAGCGGCGTGGCAACAGCTTAAACCACTACGCCATCCGTGCAGCCATAGTAGCATAGCACTGGTAATAACGAAATGAGCTATGATTGCTAAACCTAAAATATGTATAAATATGGGGTGTGTTATACTAGTTGTGTTCCCGGACGTTGGAACGACCCTGAGCGGGAGTCATACTTTGTGTAACATTTATGTGTTTAATCAGTTATTCTCTTGTATTATTATACTCTTGTATAAAAAGAGGGTAATTATTCCAAAATTTTAATTAAAAGATTAAACAAAGATCGAAAACATTTATTGCACAATATACTACTCTTCGATATGCCATTAAGATTTGACTTCGCCATCTTTACTCTTCTTGGCCTTGAACAATAATCGAGTCCCCAGGTCGTGAGTAAACTGGATACAATTGCTTGGTTGCAAGTACATCGGTAGAAGAATTTCGTGATTCGAGAGCCAGTCTATGACATAATCCGTTATTACTTCGACGTATGGAGACTTCTTTAAATTGTGCCTTAACGACTTAGAGTCCTTCAACGACCGTGGGAAAGATAAAATAATTATATTAAGGGTAGGAACAAAGTTGTATCTAACTCAAAAACCGATATTTTATCGATCAATTAAGCTATATTAGGAAATTAACAGGACAACAACATTGCAAAGAGAAGGAAACCTTGACACAAACCCTTTTTTTTTTTTTTTTTTACGTGTGGAAATCCCTTCGGACCGTCACCCCACCGGGGTTTGCGGCGGGGTGGTGTGTCGGACTCGGACCGACTAAAACCACACGGTGTGCCACTCTGCGCCTGTAATAGGAGGGATCCGGGAACAGCTGTTATCAAGACATCCGGACCCCTCCTAGCGCCGGCCCGCTCCTGTTGCGGGCTCCGTCTCAAAATTTTTTCCTCTCTTTAGGCGACGTCCGGCACACGCGGACGCCGCCCCCTCGCGGCTGGCCAAACTAATGCGGGTGGAGGGGAAACCCACCCCGTCCACCCGCGGCCACACTCAGGGCGGCATGAGGCGGTGATAAGCGCGCCTCCGCCGCCCGGTTCGCCGGCGGCCGATCGGGTCCGAGTCTAGGTCGTCCTCCCGGGCCTTCTCCGCCGCCTCGGTTACTTCCTCGCAGAAGGTTGCGACCGCGGTAAAACAACTGTCGCTACCGGCCATGGAGCGTACTACGGCCGGTAGCGAGAGATCCACTCCGATTAATACAGTGAGGGCCCGGCGCTGCGTCGCCCATGCGGGGCAGACCGCCAGCGTGTGCTGGGCCGAGTCCTCACTGCAGTCGCAGTGGTGGCAGGCGGGACTCAGTTCCCTCCTAGGGACCGAGTGCAGGTACTTTCCGAAGCAACCGTGCCCGGAAAGCACCTACAGAAGGTAAGGGTCCCGTGCTGCCACCCTGCCCACGCGGCGATGACCGGCTGGAGAGCCTCCACGGCGGCGAAGCCAGCGCGTGGAGTCTCCAGCCGGAACGACCAACGAGCCATCGTGGCTCGGCTAGCGGCTTCGCGACACTCGCGCACGTCTTCGGGCGGAGGGCGAAATCCGCTCTCCGCCCGGGAGTCAGCCATTCGCCGATAAACTTAGGCGAGCACTTCCGCCTCCAAATCCCACGGGGGAGTTCCGGCCAACGCGCAAGCCACCTCCGTCGAAACGGTGCGGTAACCGCGTATGGCTCTGACCGCCATTACTCTCTGAGGGCGCCAGAGGCGTGCCCTATTCTGGGCGGTCAGAGCCGCCGCCCACACCGGTGCACCGTATAGTGCCATTGACCGGACAACCCCCGTGTACAGCCGTCTTGTCGCGACGCTGGGCAAAAGTCGCCCTAGGGCAGACGCAGCGCCGACCAGCTTTGGAGCAAGCTGTCGGAAGTGCTCGTCGAAGAGCCACCTCCCGTCGAGGATCAGGCCCAGATATTTCA